GAGGCCTCCAGAACTACAACTGACAATGCTTGGAAGACTATTTAGCTATGGTAATTGATTCTGGGTTGAGCTTAAGCTAGTCATGTGCCCTAACTGCTGTACTGTCTCCTGGTTCCCTCTCATTTTCTCATGTATTTGTTATGCTGTTCCCTGCATTTTTTTAGTGTACCATTAGCCTATGTGGTGTTATCTAACTGTTCACTCTGAGCCTGTGTTTATCATCAGAATTCAAGTGTGCCTCTCATTAGCGGTTAGAAAGTTGAAATTTTTTTTTTTGATCCATCCAGCTACATTGCCTTTAATGGACGAGTTCAGTACATTGACATTTGGAGAAATTATTGATACAAAGAATTTGTTGGCCTTTAACTATGAGAATTGGGTTATATTTACCATTTGACCTTTGCTACACCCCTGACTCTGTGCTCAGTGATCACTCCTGGCTAAAGGTCAAACAGGTCAAGAACATGCAAGGTAAGCACTTTATTCGCTGTACTACTTACTCACTGTACTATCTCTCTCCCCCTTATCCTTTACCATTTTTTTCTGGCGGGGGTGATTGAGACATCAGCAGTGCTCAGGGCCTACTCCTGGCTCTGCACTCAGGGATCACTTTGGCAGGCTCTGGGGACCAGGTGCCAGGGATCACACCCAGGTAGGCCACATATAAGGCAAGCACCCTACCCACAGTACCATCGCTCCTGTCCTTTTTGTGTGAGGTTATTAAATATACTTGACAGTTGTTTTAGATTCTCAGCGTCCTCAGCTATTGTTTGTCATTCCTTCAACTGTGAGTGATATCCCTTCTTTTTTGGAGGTTCTTTCATTCAATATTTTGTAACATCATTCCATTCTCTTCTTGCTCATCAAGTTTCATATCTGATGTGAATCTTATTCCTTTTCCTCTGTCCATGAGATTTTGCTTTTCACTGGCATGAGTCGTCTCTGCCTTTGGTTCTTGCCATTATGATTACAGTGTGTCTTAGTGTGTCTTAGTGTTCTGTTGGAGTTTATTTTTGCACTCTTTGAGCCTCCTTGATCACTACACCAATCTCCCTCTTCAAATTCATTGAGTTCTCAGCAGTTATTTCATCAATCAGCTATTTTCTCTTCTTTCCATCTTTGTTGTCCTAGGATTCCTACAATTTCAAGGTTGCCCTCCTTTTTTTTTCTTTTTTTCTATTTCCTCTTTATTGATGGAATTGTGTAACTTTTCTTCAAGGCAACTGATTTTGTTTTTCAGTGTCATGCATTCTACTGCTGAGACTTGCTACCTATACTGCTTTGAATGAGGTTTTTATTTTTCATCAGACTCTTTAAGTTTATTCATTTTTTGTTCAGTTTTTTCCCCAGATCATTAAACATTGAGAGGATAATTATTCTTGTTCATTTGTTTGTTTGTTTTTTGGGCCATACCCATGATGCTCAAGGGTTACTCTTGACTCTATGCTCAGGGATCACTCCTGGAAGTGCTGGAGGGACCATATGGAATGCAGAGGATTTAACCCAGGTCGCCCCCATGCAAGGCAAGCACCCTACGTGCTGTACTGTCTCTCCAGCCCCAGGATTGTTATTGTAGTTGAGGATCTTGGTGAGTTTTGTCACCATCTTTCTGTTAATGTGGCTGAATTCCATCTTTTTTTTTAAATTGTTCCTGGTGCTTTGTCCTCTAAGGGTGGGGCTCTTGCTGCTCACATCTGCACGTGCCTCTAAACTTTGTGGGATTTGGCTTCCTCTCTGCTCCAGCTAGACCAGAAGCCCTATGCGGCTACCTATGTTATCATTTGGGTTGTGGCTCTGTCTGCTGGTGTCTCCAGAGGTCTCTCTTATCTTCAACTTGTCTTTCTTTATAACTATCCCTATAGCCTCAAAATTGGGTAGGGTCTCACAACATTCCATCGTGTGGTCAAGCAGGGAATTCAGGTCTTCCAGTGGCCAGGGCAGTGAGTCTACTTGGCTGGGAGTGGCACGGGCTGGGCTCTGTTGGTGTTCCTCACAGCATGGTTGGTGGGGACCAGGGGTGACTGGGGTAGCAGGTATGCCAGGAGGGGAGTTGGTGCCAAGGTGAGTGCTCTTGGCTGATGTCAGCTGGCCAGCAGAAGTTTTCTGGAAAGAACCAGGTTTATACTTAAAATATTTTACCATTGAGTAATGCTAAAATTATAACCAGAGATATTAGGTTATAGTGTACTCCCATGTGCGCTGATTTTTTCTGACATAGGAATTATACCCAAAACTTTCTGCAAGGGGTAGGGCTGCTCCCTGCCGTGGACGTCCTAGTTAGGGGCCTGGTGGTATAGGGGACAGCCAGACCCTTCCCAGCAGCCCTGTGCTGAGCATGAGGTTTCTGAACCCGGATCTTGCAAATGCTTGATATGTCCTCTACCACTTATTTCTCTCTCCAGCCCCTATATATTTCTGTTTTTAAAATGATTGACTTAGCTCTCCATCATACTTCCTCTGTTGATAATCATGTTTCCATACTCATTAAAATTCTTAGCAAGATAGATTAAATCTTTGTGACCATATAGCTGGTTATTTTATGTCACTGTTTCTGTCTTTAAAGACAACATTAAATGCAACATTGCATTTGAAAATCTGTTTCTATCCCTGATACTCTGAACAGTCTCTGACTTTAGAACCTCTGGCATTCCTACCTCTAAGAAAATTCTGTTAAAGACCTAGCTTTTCATCCTAAGTTATTGGGTGTTATCCAATTGGATGAACATCTTTCTCAGTATACATTGCTTTAGAGATTTTTATATTATGTTGTTGGCTAGGGAAACCTGGAACTATACATAACAAACTGTTTTAAAGGTGAGAAATATTAGTCATTTTTACAGTTTCTTAAAACGCAACACACTGTATACTTTTGCTTCTTTTGTAATGTTAGTATTAGATTTTAAACTTTAAATAAAAATTAACTTTGATAATAACCATTTCAATTAAAATACATTTTAGAAGTAAAAGCCACATTTGATGTCTTCAGCAAAAGTGAATTTTAATGAAATGTCTCATTCTACATTGTCATAAAAGAAGAAATTTGCTTTATTTTTTTCTCTGTTTTGGGGGAATGAGCTCTAAAATGTGTTGTTCTGCTATTGTAAGTGCAATATAAAAAATATGACTTAATTTTTGTAGAGTTACTGTATTAAAGTATGCATAATAAAGTCCACCATTTTAAAACTTTTTAAAATGTATAGTTCAGTGACATAAAGTACATTTACGTTTGTGCGACTATTATCAGTGTCTATTTTCAGAACTTTTTCACCATCTCAAGTAAAATGCGCTATGCCCATTGTGCCCATTCAGCAGTAATTCCCATCACCTCTTTCCTCCTAGCTTCCCGTAACTTTTATTTACTGCATGTCCATTCATTTGCTTATTTTACATTTCTTATGTAAGTAGTATCACGAAATTTTTTCCTTCGTGTTTTATTTCACTTGTATATTTCCAAGATTCTGCATGAGTCAAATTTTTATTTCTTTCTAAGAATGAGTAATATTCCACTGTGTACAGACCACATTTTGTTTGTCCATCCTCTTAGGATGTTTACACTTTTTTCAGCTATTATGAATAATGCTGTTATGCACACAGGTATCTGGGTCCATGCTTTCATTTTATTTTTATTCATTTTATTTATTTTGCAGTTTCACCTGGCAGAGGAGCTGCTAGATCATATAGCAATTGTGTTAAGTTTTTTGAGGAACCACCAGACTTTTCCAGTTCCTGTGCCATTTTACATTTCCATACATAACAGTTCCAGTTACTTGGCATTTTAGCCTTAATTATTATTTTCTCTGTTTTCAATAATAGCCATTCTAAAATGATGTTAAATGGCATCACACTGTAGTTTTCTTTTTCATTTCCTTAGTGACCAGCCGTGTTAAACATGATTTCGTGTGTTTATTGGGCATTCATTTTGTTTTTGGTTTTGAGCCACACCTGAAGGGTCAGGAATTACTTCTGACTCTGAGCACAGAACTCACATACTCTCAACAAACTTGAAAGACTATATACGGCGTCAGGACCAAACCTACTGTGGCTACATTGAAGGCAGCTGCCGTGCCTGCTGTACCATCTGACCCCACTTATTGGACATTTGCATATCTTTGGGGGAAATGCCTGCTCTGGTCCTGGTTACATTTTTTTAGTTGGGTTCTGGTTTTTGCTGTTGTTGCATGTCAGAATTTATTTATAGATTCTGATTATGAATCCCTTATCAGATAAATGATTTGCAAATGCTTTCTCCCATTCTGTGTGGATTGTTGTGGATTATTTGAGTGTCTTTTGATACAGATATAATTTTGATGAAGTACTATTTTTTTCTTTGTTGCCTGTGCATAATTTCTTTTTATTTTAATTTTCAACTACAATTACTATCAGTATGGTATAATGTTTCCTAAGGTTGAAAATAAAGTAGACTAAGCAATGGATTCAGTTAGCTCTCTTTCTAATTTCTTTGGAATCTGAATTTCTTTGTTTGTCAGTGAACTTAATGCTGTCACCGTTAACAGGATTAGTGCGTTTTATTTACTGTAGAATAGCTTATTGTGCTACCCTACAATAAATATCATAATTTTTGTTAAATTACTGATACAAACACATTTTCTGGGCCTGAGAGATGGCACAATGACAGTATTAAGGCTCTTAGCCTGGCGTGCAGTGTACCCCGGTTCAGTCCCCCAGCACTGCATATGTTCTCTTGAGCACAGCTGGGTTTGGACCAAACACCACCCCCAAAAAAGACACTCCACATTTTCTATTAAATAACATTCTTATTTGGACCAAACCCCACCCTTCAAAAAGACACCCCACATTGTCTGTTAAAGAACATTTTTATTCATCTCCAAGTTGTAGACTGTTAAATTTGATTTCTGTAATGAAGATTTGGTTAAATTGTCTGTGATTAGTTGAATAAAGTATGCATTTAAAATGAAGATTTCTTGCTGACTAAAAGCTTTAGCATTTTTAATGGAATTAATTTTTGTTCTTTCTTTAAGGCCTATATGAACCCCATAGCGATGGCCAGATCAAGGGGTCCAATCCAGTCTTCAGGGCCAACAATCCAAGATTATTTGAATCGACCAAGGCCTACCTGGTATTTGTAAAATAATTTACATATTTTTAATTTACATGAGATTTTAACAAACTTTCGGAAGGTTATTGCTAGAACTTTATAGATTGCCAAACAATTGTTGTTATATAATGCTTTAAATAGTATTTGATGTATGCTTTCTTTTGAGTGTGTGAAACACAAGCAAGAATATTAAAAGAAACTTTAACCCCCACAGCTAATGCATTACTTGACAACCTTTTTATACTCATCTTCTTTTTATTCCCTGAAAGATACCTTGCAGTGTTCTAAGCTATGTGAAATGGATGGTTAGGCCAGAGAGGTGGTTCAGCAGGCTGAAACTTCTGCTTTGCAATAATCAGCGCACAGGCTTGATCCCTGGCACCACATATGGTTCCCTGAGCACTCCCATGAGTCATCCTCCTCAAATAGTACACCAGAAGTGACCCCTGCCAGGTGTGGCTCAACAAACAACAACAATATTTGTTTATGGTATTTGAATAGTTTCACTGTTTCTTCATTTGTAAGTTAGGAAGTTGTAATATTAGGCTTCCAGCTTTATCTGCTGGCTTTTCAATGGTTTAGGATGTTGCATTTTTAAGTATTTGCCTTAAAATATTGTTTATTATTTTCTTGAAACTCAGTCATGACTAACTTTGCAAATCACAGTGTCTCCATGGAAAAAAAATTTTTAAATACAAAATAAAGCACATTTTAAGTTATTAGCTTCAGAATCCTTCCAAGTATCTCTAAAAGCTGGGTAACTATAGCTGAGAAAGGGAATTCTTCCTCTGAGTATAACAGGAAGTGAGTCATGTTCACATGTGCTGTTGTTAATCATTGTAGCATAACAGAAAATAAATTATCTCCAAGTACAGTGATTTATTTTCATATTTGGAGAAAAAGAATGAACCTTAAAGGGAGAATGCTCAAGCAAGTGCTTGTGTTTCAGAGATACCCCAGAGTCCTCAGGTTGGACATCTCACTAGAAGAACAAGATGGTTGTACTTGTGAGTAAGATTACAGTGAAAGAATGTCTACCATAATCAACAGTGAGATAAAGGAGAGAGAGACCAGGCATAGCTTTCTTTCCTATAAAGACAGATAGGGCTCACTTGCTTCTTTTGAGCAACAGGTTGTGAAAGCACATGTGAGGTGTTGGAGCCAGAAAGTTACTAGACTCAATGCCCATCCACACTTTTTATTGACCACTGGTTTACCTCTGCCTGTCAGAAGTCAAAATTCCCAATTCCCAGAAGGCAAGTATGTATTAAATGGTACTGTTTATTTATTAAGTACCAGGACCTTTCATTTTCTCCCTCCGTGTTGGTTCTTCCAAGCAGTGCTCAAAGAAATCTGAGAGAGATACTCATAGAGATGATTTTTTTTTCTGTTTTTGTTTTTTGGGTCACACCCAGCAATGCTCAGGGATTAATACTGGCTCTGGACTCAGGAATTACTCCTGGCAGTGCTTGGGGGACCATATGGAATGCCAAGGATTGAACCCGGGTCGGGCATGTGCAGGGCAAACACCCTACTCGCTGTACTGTCACTCCGGCCCCATCATAGAGATTCTTAACCTGGTACTGTTTGGACCTGCTGTTTTGGACACCACTTGATTGAGGAACCATGCAACACCCCGAATAGAGCCTGGAGCTTCTACGTGCCAGGCATGCATGCACTCTAACATTTGAACTATCTTCCACACCCACGGTGAGTGCTCTTGTCTTTAGGAAATTGTAAAAATCCTACAATCTGGGCCAGAGAGATAGAATAGTAGTTAAGATGCCTTGCACATAACTATCCTGGTTCAATCCACAGCACCCAGTAAGATCCCCTGAGCACAAGGCCCAAACCATCCACCACCACGATTCCCCAAAAAAGAACCCTGAAATTCAGGTTTTCATACATTAGCTGGGAGTACTCTTTTTTTTTTTTTTTTTTGGCTTTTTTGCTTTTTTGGGGGTGGGGTTCACACCCGGTGTTGCTCAGGAGTTACTCCTGGATTTGCACTCAGAAATTACTTCTGGCGGTGTTCAGGGAACCATATGAGATGCTGGGAATCCAACCGGGTTGGCTGCATGCAAGGTAAATGCCCTACCAGCTGTACTATGGCTCCAGCCCTTGGGACTAATCTTATTAGCAAATCTTTCTAAAAATAAGTAGTTGGGCATGCTGCACTATTAACTTTTTTTAATATAAAATAGGAATTACATATAAAATGGGTGAATCTGTAATAGAATTTAGTTAAGTAATTCACTCAAATAGACTTTAGCTCACCTTACACAGCGGGTAGGGTGTTTGCCTTACAAGCAGCCAACATGGCCGACCCGAGTTCGATTCCTCCTCCCCTCTCAGAGAGCCCGGCAAGCTACCGAGAGTATTCGATATGCCAGACACAGTAACAACAAAGTCTCCAATGGAGACGTTACTGGGCCCGCTCGAGCAAATCAATGATCAACGGGAGGGCCTTTACCTTTACCTTTACCTAATATTGAAACTACAAGCTTTGTGACATTAGGCAGATTTCAACTTCAACATTTTATCTGTGAAAGAGGGTACTAATACACCATATCATTGTTTTTCACTCAATAATAGTTTCCTTAAATGTTGATAAGGAAGGGGAGGGAGCAATAGTACAGAGGGTAGGTAGGGAGCTTGCCTTGGCACGCTGCTAACCTGGGTTCAATCCCCAGCATCCCATATGGTACCCTGAACACTGCCAGTAGTGATTCCTGAATGTAGAGTCAGGAGTAACCTCTGAGCACTGCCATATGTGATAGAAAAACAAAAAGATACCTTGATAAGGAAAAAAAAAATCCTGGCTAGTTTGAACTTATTAAGACCTGTTTAATTATATGTTGTTTCTCTTAAAGCCAGTTTCCAGGAAACTATTGATGTTAAGTGAGGATTTTATGTGTTACATTTTCTCATAGGATTGTAAAGCTGAAAGGAAAATATACTTAATATAGTTTCCAATGTATATAATGTTACTGTGCATTGACTTTTAAAAGTTACATTTAGGGTCTGGAAACTTACTGGATAGGGGCCTTGCATGCAGCCAACCTAGGTTTAATCCCCAGCACCCCATATGGTTCTCTGAGCACTGCTAGGGAATGATCCCTGAGCACAGAGCGAGAAGTAAGCCTTGAGCACTGTGGGTGTGGCCCAAAAAGCAAAGAAAAAAAAATATATATATATATATAATATTTCTAGGATGAGTGATTGATGTTTTGACAAACTTTATTTTATATTTTTAATAATCCACTAGTGCTTTTTAGTTTTCATTTTTCTTTTGTATTTAACACCATGATTTACAAAGTTGTTCATTATAAAGTTGTTTTGTACATTCAGTGTTCCACCATCAGTTCTAACACCAGTGTGACCTTCCCTCCACCAGTGTACCATTTCCCACCCACCCCCATAAGCCTGCCCCTTTGGCAGGCACAAACAAATTTACTTCATATTGCTTGTTAAAACCAAGTGATAAGTAAAGTTTTCAAAAAAACAGATCATTAAAAGTTAACTTTGTGATAATTGTTATATCTTACAGTGTTGTTACTAAAGTAGTTGAAGATTTACTGAATTGGTTGGTGCTAGTTGAGCCTTCTATGTCATTGCTTTCATTCATTGAGCTTGATGGGCCTATACAAATTCCCCATCAAATTTACGGTGCTCCTAGTGGGCTGTTAGTACTGTGAAATTTGGAAGTACACAGCCTCGCACTCCAGGAGCTGTGAAGCTGAAACATTGTGGTAGGTTGGCATCTTGATGAAGTTCAGTTGTGGAGTGGGGCCATTTGTATACCACAGGATGTTGGGTGTAGAGGCAGGAAAAGGAATGTGCCCTCTTCCCCTCCCCTCCACTTCCCATTCTGAGAAAGCCAGAGTTCTCAGCCCCAAAGATCAATCTACCTAGGACAATGTAGTGGCTTGGTGTCTCTCCTAATAAATTTAATTTTGATAACTGAGTTATAATGATGTCAACAAAAATTACAACGTACTGGCACCTGGAAATGGAGGTTTATTGGGATATTAAGAAAAGTTTATGTAATTTTTGGTTTTTATGATCACCCATCTGTGAATGCTTAAAAATTTGTATATTCTGTTTTTCAAGGGAAGAAGTAAAAGAACAATTAGAAAAGAAAAAGAAAGGCTCCAAGGCATTGGCAGAATTTGAAGAAAAAATGAATGAGGTTTGTAATAAGAAAAATGAAATCATTTAAAACTAAACCAAAAGCTTGAGCATAGCTATGTAGGGTAAAGGTTGGATTGGGGGAAGTCCTATATTTTAGAAATCTTCTTACTAAATTGAATATAGGCTCATAAAAATTTTTTAACACAACATTTTATTCATTGATTGGTATTAGGAATAGAGCCCAGGGCCTCATACGTGCAAAGTATGTGCTCTGTCATATTTTTTAAAAATTATTAGTAACTTTTTTAAAAGCAAAAAAATTACTGAAGGGCAGTGTTTTACACTTTTCCAAATCTTTTTTGTAAATTTCAGCTATTATAGTTTAGGTTACATGTTTACAGTAGTATTAACATTTATGGTTTAGTGCTCGGTATTTTCCACAAATAACCATATGTTACCTCCAGTCTACCTCATTCCTTTCTCCCTCCTCTGCATCCCTAATTCCCCTTGGTATTCTCAGTTCTGTAATCCAAGGCCATGAGTTTGATATTTTTTGATATAATCTGTTCTCTTGTTTCTCTGTGTAGCACAGAAGAGTGAGATTATCTAGTTTTGTCCTCCCTCTGATTTATTTCACTTAACATAATATTCTCCTTCAATTCCATCCAAGTTGCAGCAAACATTGCAACTTCATTAACCATTCATCTGTGGTTGGACATTTATGCCCATATCCTATTTCATAACCTAGCTATTGTACTTTATATTGTCATTAACATTGGTATGCATGTGTCTTTTCAAATCAGTGTTTTTGTGTTTTGGGGGAGAGAGGCCAAAAAGTGGAATCACTGAGTTCATATGGGAATTCTGTTCTTAAATTTTTTGGAAATCTGCATACTGTTTTCTCTACAGGTTGAACTAGACAACATTCTCACCAAGAGTGAGCGAGATTCTTTTTTACCACATTTCGACCAACACTGTTGGTTCTTATCTTTTTAATACATGCCTTTCTCATTGGTGTGAGATATTTTGTTGTTTTTTAATTTCTGTAAATGTAAGAAGAATTAACCATCATATAGTAAGTTAAGTTCTTGCTCCTTCTCTTCCCACTGCCCCTATGTTCCTTTACTATTCTGGGAATTTCATGGTGTTGGATTGTTTCATTTAATTTAATTTTATTTTTTAATGTGTTTATTTTGTTTTGGGCCACGCCCAGTGGTGTTCAGGGCTTACTCCGTGACTCTGCACTCACGGGTCACTCCTGGCGGTTCTCTGGAAGCCACATGGAGTGCTGGGGGTGAACGTGGGACAGCCACATGCAAGGCAAGCACCCTCTCCACTATACTATTGCTCCTGCCCCAGATGTTTGCTTCTTTTATTGCAGACTTGTCTGAAATATTTCAGTCATGGTATAAATCACTTTTTCATTGTCTGAAAATAATCATTTTTTTTAAAAAGCAGAATTACTTTCTCAAAATATAGTATGTGCTCCTCAAAACATAGTGAGAACTTCTGTCTCTTAATAATCTCTTTGAAAAGCACTAGTAGGATTGGAACATGTAATAAAAGGAGGTTGCGGGGGTGGGAGTGAGGAATGACTACACCATTTACACGAAAATTTACCCATAGTGAATTAAATTCTTAGATATTAGGAACTGGATGGCATAAAATACATAAAAACATAGATGCTACACTTCAGGACCTCAGTATCAAAAAAGTTTGAGAGACTCAACGCCCATGACATGGGAAACAAAAGGAAAAACAAGTGAATGTGTATGCATCAGATTTAAAGGCTTTTACATAATAAAAAGCAACCCCCAAAAAGCAGCCTATCATTTGGAAGTGGTTATTTATGTATCACGTATCCAACAAGGGGTTGGATATCCAAAATATCATAGAAATAGGTAATCAAATACTTGTAAAATACCTAAAGTATTTTAGATCCTTCTTCAAAGAAAATATACAGATGTCGCTCAAGTGATAGAGCACATGCCTTATAGGTTGAGGTCTTAAATTTGATCCCAGGCAACATATTATCTTCACATACATACTTTTCCACCCCCACCCCACTGCCAGTTATAGCCTTGGTGTCTCCACTGGGAGTGACAAGTAATTATAATAATGACATGTACACATGGCTCACAGAAACAAAAAGATGTTCAACATTGCTCTTCATTAGGGAAAGACAAATCAAAATTGTGATGAGCTCTTTCATCTTGGAGAGAACAGCCTGTCCAAAAGATCAGAAAGAACAAATATTGGCAAAAATTTGGAGAAAGGGGAACTTTGGTACACTGTTGGTGGGAATGTTGGTGGGAATGTAAATTGGCAACACCTCTTTGGAAAACAGTATTGAGGTAAAATGGAATACCACATGATCCAGCAACCCCTCTTTGAGGCATTTATTGGAAGAATATGAAAGCACGAATTTGAATGGATGTTTGCACTCCTATCTTCATTAGCAGAATCATTTGCAATAGCCAAAACATGAAACAAGTCTAAGTAGTTATCAAGCAGGTGGCCAGATGAAGAAGTAGTGGGGTGTATATATACCCTGTAGGATACTACTTTGCTGTTTAAAAAAAATGAAATTGTACCGTTGGGGCAAAATAGTTGGATTTTAGAGTCATCCTATGTGAAATAGGTAGCAATTTAACAGGTTGGAAACTACAAAACTAACTCCTTGAATTGGTGAAAACTGTAATCCTTACCTGAGGAAAGGAGAAAGGGCAGTAGTAGAATTGAGTGTATGATCTTTTAGTGGTGAGCTAGCATGGGAACTTCGGTAATAGAAGTGATGACAGTGACATGAAATTAGAGATGTGAGGCTAAATTCCTGAAATTCTATATTGTCACACAAAAAAAAAAAACAGTTGAAGCTTCTCTGGTGATAGGCTTTATTAGAGGTTCCCAAATTTACTTGACTGTTACTCCTTTTTCAGGGGAAAAAAAAATTCACTTAGTGCCCCCCTGGAAATCTCTCTTCACACAAACAAGGACATATTCCAACTTGTATTTGTGACTGCCCCCCCCACCACCACCACCACCACCAAATCATTTCAGCACACTTCCTCCTCCAGTTTCCCCCACTTCAGGCTGTGTTACACTTTGGGAAACAATGGACTCTAATGCCTGGGATGTCTTGACATAATTAAGACTGAGATGGGCGAGAGGAGGCAGTAGAAGATGCAGAATAGGAAGTAGTAGTGTTTTGTGCTCTCTATGAGGCATCAGTGGCATAGATAGCCTTTGATGGTTTGTGTAACCTTGTTGCAGAACTGGAAAAAAGAACTAGAAAAACACAGGGAGAAATTATTAAGTGGAACTGAAAGCTCATCCAAAAAAAGACAGGTAAGATGAATTTTAGTTTTTTGGGGTTTATTTGTTTATTTTTTAATAGGCTGTATCCAGTGGTAAGTGGTAATGGGGGGAGGGGTGTGCAGTGGACTTCTGGGTGTGAATCTGACAGTTGTTCTATATTCAAGTTAGGTGTCAAGCTCAGGACCTCACCCAGGCTAGCCTTGTGCTCTACCAGTTGAACTATCACTGAAGCCCTTGTTAATTGCTATTGTTTATTTGTTTTGGGGGGCCTCTCATTTGGTGCTCAGGAGGCCTGCTGCCCCTCCCAGAAATTCTCTGCTAGCTGGGTTGATGATGCAATATGAGGACCTTGGAACTATGGTTGTGCTTAGGTTCTGGGAATTACCTTGGCTACCCTGACAGTGCTCAGGGGACCATCTGGTGCCAGGAATTTCATGAATCAAGGTCAGGTGGGGTCAGCTGCCTGCAAGGCAAGTGCCTTAACCCATATGCAATCTCTGTGATCCCAGTACTGCTCTTCTTAATCTTGCATTTGGGTTTCCATAATAGTGCTGTGTCCTACTATTAATAAATACATTTTTACAATAATTTATCACATCAGTATTCTAACACCAAAGCCACTACCATTCCACCACTGTTATTTTTATTTTCCCAACACTTCCCAAGCCTGCCCCAAAGGCAGATCCTAAATAATATATTTTGTATTGCTTGTTAAGAGTAATTCGCTGAAAATGATCCAAAAAGGTTCCTTAGAGGAAAGTTAATGAAAATTGTTGTATCTCATCCTGGAGTTGTTAAGTCCTTGTATAAGAGATTACTAACATGTTGTTACAATTTGTATAAGTTGAGCCTTGTGTGCTAATATATACATGTGTGTTTGTATATATATGTATGTATTATATATGTGTGTGTATATATATATATATATTTTAATGAGATTGGTTGCCTTCCACTTTTGACCCCATCAAATGTGGTGTGCTCTTCTTGTTTCATCAGTGGCTTAAAGTATGAAGTGCCGCATGGCTGCAAGTAAATACATTTTTAAACATGTTTCATTAATTGGGATTTGAATTTTGTTTGCTTTTAGAGAAAGAAAAAAGAAAAGAAGAAATCTGGTAGGGTGAGCAAAAGTTTTCCATTTTTCTATATGTTACAATTAGCCTACAAAGGAAAGAGTAAGACTAATTTATAACCTCCATATATAACTCTAGATGAGGCGAGGCACCTGGAGGTTCTTTCATAATGTGATATTAATGATAAAAAAGAAAGGCAACATCCACTTTGTAACATAACTCCACTACTAAAGAAGGAAAGTTTAAATTAGTCTTGTTATTTTACTGAACCTTTTCATTGGGTGGGGGGTGGGGCGGGGTGATGGTGAAAAGGATAGAACATTTTATATGTCAGTATATAAGTCTTATGAACATGGCATCTGTTTCTTAGACATTACATTGGTATCATAAATATTTGAAAGACTTTGTAAAAGAAAAAAAATTCTGCATCTCACAAGCTTTAATTGTTTTGTGCTTGGTCAAGTATTCATCTTCTTCTTCATCAAGCTCTGATTCTTCCAGCAGTTCTTCAGATTCTGAAGATGAGGTAAGATTTGCATGAAATAACTCCACTTTTTATATTGACAAAAAGAAATCCACTGTAAAATATTTTTTCTTAAAAAGTTTGCTTCCAGGTATTGATTAGTTATCCATAACTGAGAGTACTCACTTGAGTAAATAGGTATTTAAACATTTATTTAACAAACATGTTAATTCCTCTTTGGACGATCTGTTGAAGTAATTGTTACCCCACTTTAAGAAATATTTTAGGGGCTGGAGCAATAGTGCAGTGGGTAGGGCGTTTGCCTTGCATGCGACCGACCCGGGTTCAATTCCCAGCATCCCATGTGGTCCCCTGAGCACTGCCGGGAATAATTCCTGAGTGCACAAGTCAGGAGTAAACCCTATGCATCGCCGGGTGTGACCCAAAAAGCAAATTAAAAAATATTTTTAGATAACTAAATTTATCTTACAAATTTAAAAATACCAGTATAAGAAATGGACTTGAAAATCTAAAATGCTATTTGACCACATGTTAGAAATTGCACATAATTCAAATCACTTTCCTTTTTTCTTTTAAAGTTTTGTTTATAGAGAATTAATATTAACAAAATGTACCAGTTACATTTTTGAAACTAAATGCAAATGTTTCTGAAATATTTTCTGTAGGATAAGAAACAAGGGAAAAGGAAAAAGAAAAAGAAGAATCGTTCACATAAATCTTCTGAAAGCTCCATGTCAGACACTGAATCAGATAGTAAGGTAAAATTACTTAAGTTATCAAACTTTGTATAGTGAAGGCATTTAATTAGCATGCTTCTTGGGGCTGGAGCGACAGCACAACGGACAGGACGTTTTCCTTGCACGTAGCCGACCCAGGTTCAATCCCCGGCATCCCATATGGTCCCCTGAGCACCGCCAGGGGTAATTCCTGAGTGCAGAGCCAGGAGTAACCCCTGAGCATCGCCGGGTGTGACCCAAAAAAGCAAAATAATGATGATGATAATAATAATAATAATAATTAGCATGCTTCTTTTAGATTTTAATTTGACCCCAAGTTATATTTGGGATACTTTTTTTTAAAATACTTTGCCTATGGCACGCAATTGATCTACGTAATTATTTTTTTTGTCTTAATTGTTCTCTAAATACTTCTGCATCTATGTCTCCAAGTTTCAGCACTTTTATGACACGTTTATAAGTATTGTAGACATTATTTTCCCATTTTGGTTAACTCTTTTAAAACAAAATCTTAGAGCCATGCAGCTAGTAATGAAATTGGAAACTGAATGTGTATTTCTGATGTATGGACATGTGTCTTTTCTAAGATATGATAGTTAAGTGTTCTCTGCTATCCAAAATTAATAGACAGTTGTGTTTTCTTCTATCAAAAATTAATAGACAGTTATCTCTCAAAAACTGGTTAAAAGATACAGATGTGGGACATGACAGTATAGTATAGTGGGAAAGGTGCTTGCCTTGCATGCAACTGACCAAGATTCAATCTCCTATACTCCATATATACGTCTAGGGTCCCCAGAACCCACTAGGAATGATTCTTAAACACAGAATTAGGAATAAGCTCTGAGCACTTTGGGTGTGGCACAAAAACAAAACAAAAAAGGTACAGATGCAGTTGCTAAAAAATGTAGTTTCCTGGATCCCATTTTTAGAGTCTCATTTACAGAAACCTCTTTTTAGCCTATGTCCTATGATCCTAATATAAGGTGTCTATGCACTATAATTTGTTAAACACTTCCTAGAGTTACCAATATCATGACTCATATCCACTATCTCTAATGAGAGCACTTTGGACAAAATGCCTACTTTCTAGAAAGTATTTAGTAAATGTAGATTTTCTTTGTCTTCTTTAGCAAAGGAGCTAGTTTAAAAATAGAGATGGTTAACATTCAGTGAATACCTATTATGTGTTAGATACAGATAATTCTAAGCATTTGACAATAAATAAACTTACTTTCTAATAAATCCTCAGGGAGGCTATAAGAACTAAGGGAATCAAAGATCACAATTCATTCCTCTCTTCTATAAGGATAATATAGAAATCAGGTTGATAATCTGAGCATAATGTGACTCAAAACCCCAGTGTATATGAGTATCATAGCCAAAAATGCAGTGACGTACAATTTATTTTCTACTTTTTTTAGAGCAGGCAAATTTGACGTAATAAAATTCTGTAAACTAAGGTATATAGGTTCTCTGATAAACTTACATGTTGTAATATGATTTCTGTAACTGCTATTGTGGGATATTTTTAGATTGCATATTATAGACAATGTTATTTTAGTTGTTACATATTTTTTAGCTGCACTTGTGATATGTAATCAAATGAAAGTTTTCATGATTTATAAGCATATAAGGTCAATTTATATACTTATTCTGCATACATTGTCTCATATTTAAACTCTGGAATTAAAGTAAACTTAAGAGTAAATCACTTCTTTTGTTTTTTTGTTTTTGGGCCACACCCAGTGGTGCTCAGGGGTTACTCCCTGCTCTGCATTCAGTAACCACTCCTGGCTGTGCTCAGATTGAGATGTTAGGGATTAAATCTGGGTTCCCTGTGTGCAAGGGACATGCCTTATCCACTCACTGTGCTCTTTCTCCAGCACGAAGAGTAAATAATTTTTTTATTTTTAAACTTAAAACTATGATGCTGTCTCTCATTTAAAATTATATGTTTTAAATATATATATTTGTAGGGTCAGAGTTACATAGTACAGCAGGTTAGGCATGTGCCTTGCGTAGACCTAACCAGGTTCGATTTCTGACACTCCATAAAGTTCTCTAGCCTACCAGGAATGATCCCTGAGGGTAGAACCAGGGGTAAACCCAAGCATAGCTAGGTGTGACCCCAACACAGAAATAAACATAAAGAGGTAGTTCAGAGATGATTGCTTCACATGCTACAGACAGGTTTGATCCCCTGCACCACATGCTTTTCCAGCACTGCCAGGAGCTGATGCCTAAATAATCCCCAAGCACCATTGATTGGTTTTTGACCTTAAACAGCAAAAAAATAAATATATGTTCGTTGTTGTTTAGGATAGTTTGAAAAAGAGAAAGAAGTCAAAGGAGGCGACTGAAAAAGAAAAGGTAATGATAATTTTATATTACCTTAAAATAGTATGTTATTCAGTGTTTTATTTGCTTTAAGAAATTTTTGCTGTTGGGGTAGGAATTTACCTGTGCCTCAAAACTCAACTTTTGACTGCATAATTTAATTAAGAATAACTAGAAGGGATAAACCATGAGCAAAGTTTATGTACAATAAACAAAGAATAACATACAGAAATCAAAAAATTTAGTGATATTCCTAATACTGTTGTAAACCATGGTGGCCAAAAAGGAAGGTAATAATAATTAGAGGGACCTGAAATACACAGAAAAATTGTTAAATATATATGTTCCGGCAATTCCAAAATAAAATAGAAACTGTTTCAACAATCTGAAATTGGTAAGATTAATGAAAGAACCTGATGAGGAGACCTCTTCATAAAATGTGATTCATAAATGAGTGAACTAAGAAACAGTTGTGAAGATATCAGAGAGCAAAAAAATCATTTGGATGACGGCTGCTTTGATTTAGTCTTTATTATTAGATAAAGATTCTACACTTATACTCTCTTCTACTCTGTTTCAACTTTGTTTTTAGTAGCAAAGAACCCATATGCTTCCCCTCCAGAAGGAGGGAAGATTGATGAAATAAATTGTGACATATATTTTCAGTGAATGTCAAAGGTGAACCATACATGACAATATAGTTAGCATGGAAAGATATTAGGTGAGAAGAACAGGTTTCAAAGAGCAAGTGATTATGTAAAATTACATATATTTACACAGAAACATGTTTACCAAAAATCTTAATTATATTAAATCGCTGGTAATGGCAGTGAACACTTCTCATTCCTATCAAAATAGTAAAGCTAATCACAGAAACAAAATTAAATCCCCATTAGGGACCTGAGCAATTGTACGGCAGGTAGGGTGCTTACTTTGCATGCAGCCTACCTGTATTTAGTCCCTAGAACCTATATGGTCCCTCAAGCCCCACCAGGTGTGATCCTGGAGTGCAGAGCCAGGATTAAGTCCTGATAATCCTGAAATGTGTCTCGCAAAAGTCAAAAAATATTAAATCACCAATAATGTAATAGAAATCCATTGCTGTTACTATTTTATAATTTATGTCTTTAAAATTGGGTTCATCCTGTATAAAAAAGTTTCATATTTTTGTTCTGTGTAACATTAGGTGGTGAGCATTTTGTCCATTGTGTGGTTTTGTTTTTATTGTTTTAAACTAATTCAAACAGAGGAAAACATATATAGGAAATAATAAAATAGCACTTGACTCATTTACTCTGTAATCTTGATAAATACTAATATTTTACTATGCTTCAGATGGTTTTGAAATTTTTTTTTCATTTATTTATTTTTATTTATTTATTTATTTATTTATTGGATCACCGTGGGAAAGGTTACAAAGCTTTCAGGTTTAGGTCTCAGTCATGCAAATATCAAACACATTTCCCTTTACCAATACTTATTTTTTACCATAAAGAACCCAAATAAAACCCCACCCCCCACCCCACCCAGTCCCTGTGGGGCAGATGAATTCTAGTTAACACTATCTGCTTTGATTAGATTCATTGTTTCAATAAAAGATTCACCACTATTATTTAGAGTTTAGCCCCCTCTCTCCCCCCCAAATCAGACATGCTGAAAAAGCATTGTGAAGTGATTTGCTTTCTACAGCTGGGTTCAAGAATTAAATGTTGGTTTCGGATTTCTGCTATTTTACTTATTGACCCTGGAAGTATTTCTACTGAAAGTCAGATAGTTAAGAAATTGGTTTCTGTGCTCTGGAGTCGTGGCTCTCTCTGGAGAGCCGCTAGTGGGAGGCAACTGGTGACCTCGGTAGGGGGTGAAGGGAGGACCGAAACGCCCCCCTTCCCATGAGGTTTTAGTCGCCCCCAGTCCCCCGGCTCATACCTGCTGTCCACAAGGCTCCCATGCGGCCGCCATCTTTCTTTCCAGAGAGGAGAAGGCGACTGGGGCAACACCCTTTCCCCTCCGGTCAGACATGATGGCCTGGATTAATGCATAGTCCGTTCACTTTTCTGCTCCAAGCTGCCGGGTTCTGCATTAAGTCCTTGTGCTTCTGGGGCCGTGGCCGTGCTGGAGAGCCGCTCGCGGGGGGGCAACTGGTGACCTCGGTAGGGCGTGAAGGACGGACCGGAAGGCCCCCCTACCCATGAGGTTTTAGTCGCCCCCACACCCCTGGCTCATACCTGCTGTCCACAAGGCTCCCATGTGGCCGCCATCTTTCTTTCCAGAGGGAGGAGGGCAGAAGGGACCAATACCCTTTCCCCTCTGGGCAGACATGATGGCCTGGATTAACGCATAGTCCTTTCACTTTTCTGCTCCAAGCTGCTGGGTTCTGCATTAAGTCCTTGTGCTTCTGGGGCTGTGGCTGTGCTGGAGAGCCGCTCATGGGGGGCAACTGATGACCTCAGTAGGGCGTGAAGGACGGACCGGAACGCCCCCCTTCCCATGAGGTTTTAGTCGCCCCCACACCCCCTGCTCATACCTGCTGTCCACAAGGCTCCCATGCGGCCGCCATCTTTCTTTCCAGAGAGGAGAAGGCGACTGGGGCAACACCCTTTCCCCTCCGGTCAGACATGATGGCCTGGATTAATGCATAGTCCGTTCACTTTTCTGCTCCAAGCTGCCGGGTTCTGCATTAAGTCCTTGTGCTTCTGGGGCCGTGGCCGTGCTGGAGAGCCGCTCGCGGGGGGGCAACTGGTGACCTCGGTAGGGCGTGAAGGACGGACCGGAAGGCCCCCCTACCCATGAGGTTTTAGTCGCCCCCACACCCCTGGCTCATACCTGCTGTCCACAAGGCTCCCATGTGGCCGCCATCTTTCTTTCCAGAGGGAGGAGGGCAGAAGGGACCAATACCCTTTCCCCTCTGGGCAGACATGATGGCCTGGATTAACGCATAGTCCTTTCACTTTTCTGCTCCAAGCTGCTGGGTTCTGCATTAAGTCCTTGTGCTTCTGGGGCTGTGGCTGTGCTGGAGAGCCGCTCATGGGGGGCAACTGATGACCTCAGTAGGGCGTGAAGGACGGACCGGAACGCCCCCCTTCCCATGAGGTTTTAGTCGCCCCCACACCCCCTGCTCATACCTGCTGTCCACAAGGCTCCCATGCGGCCGCCATCTTTCTTTCCAGAGAGGAGAAGGCGACTGGGGCAACACCCTTTCCCCTCCGGTCAGACATGATGGCCTGGATTAATGCATAGTCCGTTCACTTTTCTGCTCCAAGCTGCCGGGTTCTGCATTAAGTCCTTGTGCTTCTGGGGCCGTGGCCGTGCTGGAGAGCCGCTCGCGGGGGGGCAACTGGTGACCTCGGTAGGGCGTGAAGGACGGACCGGAAGGCCCCCCTACCCATGAGGTTTTAGTCGCCCCCACACCCCTGGCTCATACCTGCTGTCCACAAGGCTCCCATGTGGCCGCCATCTTTCTTTCCAGAGAGGAGAGGACGAATGGGGCAACACCCTTTCCCCTCTGGCAGACTTGATGGCCTGGATTAACGCATAGTCCTTTCACTTTTCTGCTCCAAGCTGCTGGGTTCTGCATTAAGTCCTTGTGCTTCTGGGGCTGTGGCCGTGCTGGAGAGCCGCTCGTGGGGGGTAACTGGTGGCCTCAGTAGGGCGTGAAGGACGGACTGGAACGCCCCCCTTCCCATGAGGTTTTAGTCGCCCCCACAACCCCGGCTCATACCTGCTGTCCACAAGGCTCCCATGCGGCCGCCATCCTTCTTTCCAGAGAAGAGAGGGCGAATGGGGCAACACCCTTTCCCCTCTGGCAGACTTGATGGCCTGGATTAATGCATAGTCCTTTCACTTTTCTGCTCCAAGCTGCTGGGTTCTGCATTAAGTCCTTGTGCTTCTGGGGCTGTGGCCGTGCTGGAGAGCTGCTCGTGGGGGCAACTGGTGACCTCGGTAGGGCGTGAAGGACGGACCGGAACGCCCCCCTACCCATGAGGTTTTAGTCGCCCCCACACCCCCGGCTCATGCCTGCTGTCCACAAGGCTCCCATGTGGCCGCCATCTTTCTTTCCAGAGAGGAGAGGACGAATGGGGCAACACCCTTTCCCCTCCGGCAGACTTGATGGCCTAAATTAACGCATAGTCCGTTCACTTTTCTGCTCCAAGCTGCTGGGTTCTGCATTAAATCCTTGTGTTTCTGGGGCTGTGGCCGTGCTGGAGAGCCACTCGTGGGGGACAACTGGTGGCCTCAGTAGGGCGTGAAGGACGGACTAGAACGCCCCCCTTCCCATGAGGTTTTAGTTGCCCCCACACTCCCAGCTCATACCTGCTGTCCACAAGGCCCCAATGCGGCCCCCATCCTTCTTTCCAGAGAAGAGAGGGCGAATCGGGCAACACCCTTTCCCCTCCGGACAGACATGATGGCCTGGATCAACGCATAGCCCGTTCACTTTTCTGCTCCAAGCTGCTGGGTTATGCTTTAAGTCCTTGTGTTTCTGGGCTGTGGCCGTGCTCCAAACTTAACTATGATTTTCAGAGAGAAACCTTGGGTGGTTTACTTCCCATGGTTCACTTTGTATATAGAGAGATGTCGCGCGGCTGTTTTGAGGAAAAGTCCTAGTTCCCGCATACTCGAGCTGTGCTTGTAGAGGCTTCTGGTCACCGGGGTTCCATCTGGGGGAGGCGGGATGCGGTACCTACCCCATCTGGGACTTCCCAATGATCTCGGCTCTTTTTGGAAACTGTTTTTTTTTTTTTTTTCCTTCGGGATCTGTGAATCCCGCCCTCCATGTAGTCCTTCTCTTCGGCTGAATTGGTTTTGAAATTTTTTAATTTAATGTGAACTTTATACTTTTAGTACATTATAGAAACTCTTTTAGATCATTGCAAGTAATTACCTTCCCCCCGCCCCTCTTTCCTGCAGTGTTTGGTCTGTCTAATTCAACTCTGAATAGAAACAAAAGAATGAGAGTTGTGGGCAGAGATATAGTATAAAGGGAAGGGCATTTGCCTTGTACGCAGCCCGCCACCCTGAGTTTGATCCCTGGCACTGCGTATGGTCTTCAACTTCCCACCAGGATGATCCTTGAGCATAACTATGATTTTCTGATAATTTGATACGTCAAAAACAGTAACAACAAGTCTCACAATGGAGTGCGTTACTGGTGCCCGCTCGAGCAAATCAATGAACAATGGGAGGACAGTGCTACAGTGCTATTTAAAATTCAGGGCCAGATAGGTAATACTATGGGTATGACTCTTTCCTTGCACACAGCTGACTCAGGTGCAATCCCTAGCATTCCATATATTTCCCCAAGTCTACCAGGAGTGATTCCTGATTGTGGAGCACTGCCAGATGTGACCCAATCTTTCCTCCCTCCCCCCTTTAAAATTCTACCACATATAATTGATTGTTATTTAATAAAAGCATTTTTTTATTGGAATTAATATCAGTACTGGAATATTTTACCAATTTTACTGGAATAGCTCACCAATTTTAGAGTTTTCTGAAGCTCTGTTATACTCTATGAACATATGTTGTAATGAAAGAGTTAAATATAAATTAAAAGTACGAAATTTTGTGTTTTTTTTATCACTATGGCATGTATTTCCCTATATACAGGAAATTAAAGTACTCAGCAAAAAAAGAAAGATATATCCTGAAGAAAAACCTTTGTCATCAGAGTCCTTGTCAGAATCAGATTATATTGAAGAGGTAAGTATAGATTTAGCTTCATTTGACTACTTTAATATCTACTTACTTGATTTGTTAAATAACGACTTCATAAAAATAGATCCTTGATTATTCATTTTTAATGGTTAATATTAGGAATGGATATTCTATAAATTCCATTTAGAAATATGTGTTTTTCTAAAAGACAATGGCTATAAAAGGATATGGCTTTTTTTTTCTCTCTCTGATTGTTGTTTTTTTCTTTTGGGATCACACCTAGCAGTGTGCAGGATTTATTCCTGGCTCTGCACTCAGGGCTAACTCCTGGCAGGGTTTGGATCAGATGGAATGCTGGGGATCAAACCTGGGTTGACTGCGTCTAAGGCAAGCGCTCTACCCTGTATACTGTCACTCCAGCCCCTGGTCCATTATGTGGTAGTACTGTGTATTAGAGCACCATAATTTATATAGTTTTTATAGTTTAGTTTTAGGAATATAGTATTCCAACAGCAGTGTTAACTTCCACTGATGTCCCAGGTTCCTTCCCAACCCCTAGCCTGTATCCTTGACAAGCACCATTTTTGTATGGTTATTGTAATTACCTCATGCTTGCAGTGTTGTTGGCTCTGTAATTTTTATGTGTACATCTATAAATACACCACATATGTACTTGTCTACACCTCCATAGTTATATGGCTATTTCATAATCAACCACCTTTTTTTTTTTAATTTCTCTAATGTTCTTTTGTTACCATGTATATTGATTACATGAAGGATGCTATTGTATTAAAATTTTACGTCCCTTATTTTTATCTGGAGCTCTGTTTAGGGAGTAGAAATGTAATCAGATAAAGCAGGAAAATGTTGGCGTGACAGTTTTTCCATGTCTAAAATGAGGGAGTAGGGGGGCTGGAGCGGTAGCACAGCAGGTAGGGCGTTTGCCTTGCACGCGGCTGACCCGGGTTCGATTCCCAGCATCCCATATGGTCCCCCGAGCACCGCCAGGATTAATTCCTGAGTGCATGAGCCAGGAGTAACCCCTGTGCAAAGCCGGGTATGACCCAAAAAGCAAAAAAAATTAAAAAAATAAAATGAGGGAGTAGGGACTGCAGTGATAGTAGAGTTGGTAGGGTGCTTGCCTTGCATGCAATTACCCAGGCTTGATCCCCAGCATCCAATATGGCCCTCCAAGCTCACCGGAAGTGATCTCTGAGCACAGAGCGAAGAGTAAGCCCTGAGCACCACTGATGTGCCCTAAAAGCAAAGGCAAGTGCTTTTAAAGAAGAAGAAGAAGAAAAGCACAAAAAAAGAAGAAAATTTCAAATGAAAAAGTAGGATTAAATGATTTTTTAAATTCTTTTTAGATTTAATATAGTACTGGTTTAGATTTTGTATGTACTCTGCTGAAATTTGAGTATTTCAGGGGTGAGAAGACATGGGTGAAGCCTCCTTGGTGGTGCTTAAGAGATTGTGTGCCATTCCCAGCATTTCAGTGTGGCCTAAGGATGCAATATTGCTTGGACTCTTTGGTGCTGATTACCACTAGGGTCACCCAGTGGCACTCCAGAGCGTTTAGGACCACACCCAACAATGCTAAGGAAGCTGAATGATTCTAGGGATTGAACTAGAGTGAGTGCTTACAAGGCATGCACCCTAACTCTTGAAATATCTCCCCAGCCTGTAGAGTCTATTTTTACTTAACTGTAGCTCTGTACTTTATCTTTAAAATATTTCTCTTGGACCTGGTTTCCTTATTTGTAAAATTGACCAAATGCCCCATTTTGTAACACTCCCTGGAATGAAAATTGTAACTACTATTACCTACCTATACATAGTTTGATGTTAATAGATTCAAAGAAATAGAAGAAAATAAATAATTTTATAATGTTATTTTTAGAATAAAATATTTCTGTAAGATAACATCAGAAAGCAATCTTAAGATATAACAAAATTTAGGCTCTAATAGGTATAGTACATAGACATTTCAAAAACAAATAATTTTCACTGTCACTGTCCTCCCATTGTTCATCGATTTGCTCAAGCGGACCCAGTAACATTGTGAGACTTGTTGTTACTGTATTTGGCATATCGAATACGTCACGGGTAGCTTGCCAGGATTTGCTGTGTGGGCGAGATACTCGGTAGCTCACCAAGAGGGGTGGAGGAATCAAACTCGGATAGGCCAGGTGCAAGGCAAAGGCCCTACCCGCTGTGCTATCGGTGTTTTATTTTTTTTAATGGTGGGTGAGGGGCTGGAGATAGTATAGTGGGTAGCACTTTTACCTTGCATGTGGCTGACCCAGGCTTGATCCTTATGGTCTTACAACCCTGCCAGGAGTGATCCCTTAGTGCAGAACCAGGATTAAGCCCTGAGAACCACCAGGTGTGGCCCCAAAACAAAATGGTGGATGATTTTCATTAAAACTTTGAAGCAAAATGCAGTTTTACTTTAGATGAGGTTGACACTTCTCGGAAATTCACTGTGTCTTAAAACTCTGTACAGGTATTTTCTTTCCACTCTGAGGAAATTTCTCAAAGTTAGAGTGCATTCTCAGGTTCAATCCCTAGTCTTCCATATGGCTACCAGATGTAATCCTGGGAACACATATTTTAAATAGACTTATTGAATGTCCAGGCAGCTTTCCAGAATCATGTCAAAGCTACCAGGGCCATTGCCTTATAGCATTTCCCAGTCTTGATCTGGCTAAATGTGAACAGAAAAAAACTACTAGCACCCACAGTAGAAGTTAAAAAAGTTCAAGTTAAAAAAGCTAAACCAAAATCCAGTTGTTTCCTGGGTACTCTCTAGTATACTTGTCTTAATAAAAAATGCATTGTATTTGGATTTACTAATAGACAAACATGAGCTTTAGCAACTTTCAATATAATCTAAATCTAATATACTCCACTTTGAAAAATTGAAATAAAATTAATAAGATAATAATTGTTACAGGAATTTTCATCATTTGGTTTATATTGAGTTCACTATATGTATAGCTACCATTTTTGTTTATTTGTTTTGTTTGGAGACATAACCATCTATGCTCAGGGGTTATTGCTGGCTGTGCACTCAGCCTGGCAGTGCTCTGGGGACTGTAGGGGATGCCAAGGATTGAACCCGGTCAGCCACATGCAAGGCAAGCGCACTACCCACAGTATTATCTCTCTACCCCCATTTTAATTCAGTAAAGTAAATGAAAATCAGCCATGTTCCAGGTACTTCCTTTTGAGACTAGATACTGATCTCCATTTTTCAATGATGTCAGGGACAGGTAGCAGAGATTATTATATTCTGAGCTTTATCTTTCTTTCGGAATTTAGGATTTTATTCACAGTACCTCTGTTTGTCTTTGGCACAAGAAGAAAAATGTAACATTTAACCCTTAAGGGGTTTAAAATTTTTTATTTTCTTGGGGCTGGAGAGATAGTAGAGCAGGTTGGGCATTTGCCTTGAAGGTAGTCAACTGGGATTCTGTCCCCAGCACTGCATATGTTACCCAACCCCCTCCAGGAGTGATCATTGAGCACAGAGCTAGGAGTAAGCCCTGAGCATCACTAAATGTGACCCAAACAACCAAAAAGAAGAGAAAAAAAATATTTTCTTTGTTTCAAATGTTTTCTGTTAGATCCTTATTGTGCTTTAGGTTCTCAGTATTATAGGCAGTTTCGGGTCCTTTGATTGTGACAATGTTTTCTCCTTATAAATTTTGAAGTAGTGAAGCACATGAAAGAATGATAAAATGAGATAAGTGAAAATTAATTTTTTTTCTCCAAATAAATGTAAACACTTTAGGTACCAGCCAAAAAGAAGAAAAGCAGTGAAGAACGAGAAAAAGTAACAGCAAGTATCACTTACTATTTTTACCTGACAACAGTAGAGCTCTTTTGTTTAATGAAAAATAAGTCATAGTAAAGAATGATAGAATTTCATGAGAATAACTACTGAGAAATTTCAATATTCAGCTTTACTTAGTGGAATGATTGGGTGGTAAATTGGCTCAGCAAAGAGTAAGGGTTTTCTCATGGCTCTGAGCTCAGGGATCTCTCCTGTCAGACTCTAGGACCTTACGGGGTACCAGGGATCAAACCTGGTTCAGCCGCATTCAAGGCAAGCACCCTGCCCACTATACTGTCACTTCACCTCCAAGTATCCATTTTAAGAATTTCTATGTAAGAAGTAAGTGTGAGTTGAGCAAATTTACAACTTATATCCATTTTGACACATTTTAAAATGGGCTTCATTGGAGTTATCCTTTAAAAGCCAAATATTTGCTTTATAAACTAGATTTTTTAATTATATATCAGTTTTGTAGTACTTATTTTAATAGTTAACGTACTACTCTGACACTACATAGTACATAATTTCTATGTTCATATTTCCTTCAAAATAGGAGGTTTAGGCATTTTTTAACCCCGAAAACTTTCTTTATACAAAAGCAGCTACATTGGAGGTTGGAGCGATAGTACAGCAAGGTAGGGCATTGCCTTGCATGCAGCTAACTGGGTTTAATCCTCAGCACCCAGTATGTTCCCCTGAGCCCCACCAGGAGTGATCCCTGAGCATACAACAAGGAGTAAGCCCTACGCAAAGCAAGAGTGTGTACCCCCACAACAAAATTAGCTATATTTCCAGTGATTAAGCGTCCCATTGCAGGAACTTCTGTTACTTCACCTGCAGAAATTATATAATATTGAATAATTGAATTTATCTTCTAGAGGAAGTTTATAGAGTTTACTGATATCCTAACAAGCAATTTTTTTCATGGCTTACTAAAAATCAAAAGGTTTCCTTTTATTTTTCATTTGAAATTAATTTCTGAGAGTTTGAGGAATATTTTGGTTTTGATTTTTGGGCCACACCAAACTTACTCCCTGACTATGCTCAGGAATTGCTCCTGGAGTGCTTGGTGTGCCCGTGGCAGGGAATGTCATGCTTGGGATTGAACTGGGTCAGTTCCCTGCAAGGCACACTCCGTACCACCTTGTAATTATCTCTCCCGCCTCATTTTGAGTTGCTTGTTTAGTTGGGCCTGTTTTTTGGTTTGTGTCTGGTTTGGGGGCCACACCCAGCAGTGCTGGGTTATTCCTGCTCTATGCTCAGCGTTTGCTGCTGGTGTGCTCTGCTCAGCGCTCAGAGGTGGAGGATTGAACCCAGGTTGGACAGCTTGCAAGGCAAGAGCCTTACTGTACTATCCCAGCCTTCGTGTGGGTTATTTGAAGTAAATATATAGTGACTCTGAAATAGGATGAAATTGATTTGAATAATTACTTGTAGAAATGGCTAATTTGGACTTGTCTTTATAGGAAAAATCAAGAAAGAAAAAGAAGCATAAGAAACACAGTAAAAAGAAGAAAAAGAAGACAACTAGTTCAAATCCTGACTCGCCATAACATTAAGAAAAAAACAGGATTCCCTTACAAAGAAAGTGCAATGATCGAGGAAATTCAACTGTGAAAAAGATGACATACTTACTAATGCATGAATCTTCTTGTTTGTAAAATTATTCCTGGACTATTCAGTAGCCACTGAGATGCCGCTGTGTGAAAAGGCCTTGGTTAACTGTTGCCTGATGCTCAACACCTGTTCTTTCCTCTTCCAGTTCTTAATAACTCTGGGAGATAATACACTGCAGTCATACTAGAGGTTAAGATATTGGGAATAAAGTTAATATTTTTGACTAGATGTGTCTAATGTTCAAACAACAAAATTTAATCTGAATATGTCTTTAAGATGTAATCAGAAGTGACCAGATAAAATAATCTAGTTATTATTTTTTATGTAGGGATTACATTGATACTAAAAGTCCTTACTCTGTAGATAAGTGTATTTTAATTTTTTCCCAATGTATCTTTTATTTACCTGGGGAAGGACCTTTTTGGTGGGGAGGGTTTGCTATCTCTTTAGCTAGCAGAATAGCGTGCCTTTTATCTTTACACATCACTTTTTGTGGACACAGTAGCCATGCTTCATGAGGAGGTCAGAGCTGGGTCCAGCTGTCTTGTCTTTTACTGCGTTTAATGATATCCGTTGGCTCTGTTGTATGCTGCTTTGAGTGCACCAGAGAATTATAGCCTGTTTGCAGCATGAGAAAAAACTCACGATGCTCTGGGATTTACCTCCACTTCAATAATAATACTGAATATTTTTTAGCTTTAGAATGTGTTATATCATTTGAATTAATTTTGACTACACTTTGACTTTAGAGAGGAATCATTTCAAATATAGACACTGGTACTTTTTGAACTTGATAGTTAAAGATTCTAAAATGCATGTTTTATACTGTTAAATTTTAAACAGTCAGGAAACTTTTATGTAACCAGTGATAGTTATTTTTTGTATGAATATTGTTTAGGCTGTAATATTTAGCTTTTGTTAACTTTTATTCTTGCTATCTTAAATTCCTTACTGTGTTTAATGGCACATTTGCCAAGATATTTAGCATGTAAAAAGCAGTTTTTTGATTTTTTTTTTTAAACAGCTTCATATTGAAGCTGAGATTTAGCATAGACCAGTTGAGTGGCAGGCCTGGTATGCTGTGTCTTGTTAAAAAAAGCTATGCCAGAATCTTAGTAAATGCAACGTTTTAAAAGTTTGTTGTCTTTGTATATTCCTAACAAATTATGACAAGTTAAATTTAAGTGAGAATTATGTTACTGCTCTTCTTGTGTCATATTTTACTAAGATTTTGTGCCTCATATCTCCTGCTGAATTGTTTACTAGTATGTTAAAAGAAATTGATAAATTGTTTTCACTTTACCTTTTTATATAATCAGGTAACATGGAATATAATTTGATGTGTAATGATGCCTGTTACAGAGGGTGTGCTAATTATAGTAGTATATGCACAAAACATTTTGGCATGATGAGGCTGAATAAATAGCTATTTTACTTAAAAAAAATAGCTGTGTTCTTATCAGCTTCCTTTGGGTCACAACTGAAACTACACAGAAACACTACTAGGTGCCGAGTAATAAGTAGATAAGACATATTCCTGAAGTCCAAGGACATTACCCAAAGGGCCAGAGTAAATGCACAGGGCTCTTAGTACCCCCAGTACCTTGTGATCTCCATCATAAAGACTGCTAAGTGTAGCCCTGGGCCCCCACAAACTCTGGGGAGCCCCACCGCTTCCCAAAGAAAGCATGCACTCAAGTTTTTATCAGTAGAAATGACATGTCCTTAAATTATATGCTTAAACATACCTTTTTCTAATGAAATGTATCTGTGTTCTTGAGGACACAGCAATTTTGAGGGACATTTTGTGTACAAATGGCAGTTTCTCAGAATTCCTTCCTGAAAAAGCTAAAAGATGAGTTCACAGGAACATCAAAACATGCCTTCACAGACTGGTTCAATATTTTATGATATGTAGAAGCAGCTGCTCACAGTGGAGAAGGTTGTTTTGTCAAAAAAATGATCCTTCTTGATTGTATTTGTCTCTCTGGTGATAGCCTTATTAGTCATTACAAGATAGGGGGGAAAAATTAAAAGGATAGAGTTACAATGTGTTTATTCCAAAGACACCTACATTGTGCAAGTTAGTAACATCTTTTATTTCTTTCCCCATACCTTTTTCTTGAATTGCTTTCTACCAATTTTATAAGAAAAGCATAATTTACCTGGTTTCTAGGTATTTTAAATTTCTTAAGAATATCCTGAATTTATTTTCTGTAGAGTGCAGATTAATATTAATTCGATCAAAATGTGCTAAAAGTTTATAACCTTGTTTTTCTTTCATAAATAAACTAACCTCAGAGAAACTAAGAATATAGTTACTCTTTAGACTTAAAGAATTTCAACTTAAAATCAGTAAATACTCCTGGTATTTCCTTAAGAAAATTTTTACAAGCCAGAAATATGATAGCTCTACAGAATGAAGTTAACGCTTTGTATGCAGGTCAGGTTCCATCTCTGGTACTATATGATCCCCAAACTGGGAGAGTATTCCCTGAGTATTGTTGGATATACCAAAAAAACAAAACAGCTTTATAAATGCATCTCCTCTACCAATTTTCAGGCGTTTAGTTTTTAGATATTATTTCAAATATACTAATTTTGCTTTGCCACAGTGTGAAAATTTCTAAATTTTCTTGTCTGCCACTAGAAAACGCTCTGTATACTAAGGTTTGAGAGAGGAGACTTAGAATAGTTGACATTTTAACCAGCTTTGCCATAACATACTATATTTTCCTACCACTTAGCCAAATCTAATTAGAAGGATAAAAGTGGAATTTTGCATTTCTTTAGAGGCTCCCAGACTGCAGTTTCTATTTGGTTGTCATGAAAAGGCTCTTGGTTAGTTCCCAGAAGAGTGATTTATAGCTTGGGAAACATGTTCGTTTCAAGTTAAAAAGATAATGTCTTTATAATTTTACATGGTTATGTATTCAGATAGGGGGAAAACAATTTCAGCTGTAGGCTATAGGATTTGTGCTTAGGAAATGCAAATGGCAATGTCAGGTCCACTTGTATCCACATCCAAATACCAAAAGTGGTATTTAGTTCCAAAGAAAAATGTTGGAATTGTTCTAATATTTTAGATCATAATATATTAATGGAATGTTTTAATTTATATTGTATGTTAATAACCATTATCTGGTATTTTTCCAACTGCTGGAGAACCTTCTCTGTTGGTCACTGGAATGTTACCGTGGTTACAGTCTGTTTTGGATCTAGAATAGTGAATTTTGGAATCACTGGCAATACAGGAAGACAGGCTTGAAGCCAGGGAAGGCTGAAAAGCCTGCAGTGTATAGTCAACATGGACCGGAAAACTGTACAGAAGTTAGTAGGATCCATTGGTAGTACTGTCACGAGCTGTAAGTACTGAACAAACACAGCCCGGACATCTTTAAGTAGAAGCTTTGGTAGACAGGCTAATCAAACCTTAACAAGTGCTTCGTAATCCTAAAACAGAATCTCATATTTTCTAGCTAATGTTTTGGTCATTTTAAAAATAGGTGACATGTCAACAATATTCTGCATTTATACTGCAAATAATTATTGTGGGGTGTAATAAATAACTCCATGCTTATTAGTTTAAAGTTCTGCTATCATAGACTTTAATAATTCTTTGAACAAGTGGACTGCATTTTTCTTTTTTACAGGAGGGCCACAATTTTTTTTAAATATAGACAATGATTCATAATCCTGTTTGAGAAATAGCACATTGCTGTACAACACCCACCAACAAAGTTTAGCATCCTGCTAAGTCTAGTCCCCCTTTTTTTGCAGACTTAGTTCTGCTGTCACTGTGGGCCCATAAATTCTGAAATTGATTCTGTTTCTATTACAAATACTTGCACTATCAGAACCACCAAAACTTTGTGTTGAAATGTAGATTCCTTGGTATCCCCTTCTATGAAGTAGGAACATGCTTTCAGATTTTTTCTTCTCCAGGTGTTCACAGATAATAAAGTTTGAGGATTTGTGATCCTAATTGTTTTTCCAAATGAAATTGTCAGCGTAACATTGATCTCAGTTTCATTGATAGTTGATTGAGAATTGACCTCATCTTTTTCATGATTACTTGTCATTTAGTCATAATTGTAAGTTAAACTTTAAAAAAGTGAATATTAAACTGGTTTGTTTTTTGGTTTGTTGGGGGGTTTTTTTGTTTTCATTTTAGTCAGCTGATTGTTTTGGCATCTAGAAGTTATTTTGAATCCTGATTTTTTTTTGTCTGTTTGGTTTGGGGCCACACCCAGCTCTGCTTAGGGCTTACTCTTGGCTCTGCTGCACCTAGGATCCTCCTGGCTTAGGGGACCATATGCAGTGTCAAGAACTCAGATTGCCTGTGTGCAAGGCAATCACCTTTCACACCACTGACTCCAACCCTGATTCCTGATTCTAAATCATTAGATTCCTTATTTTCTCCAACTTCCCATCCTAAACTTGACAAGTACTTCCAATTTACAACTCTTTTTAAGACCAACTACCAACAACTGTGTTAGTAGTTTTGTTTGTTCTTTTTTCCTTTTTGGGCTACACCTGACAGTGCTTACTCCTGTCTCTGACTCTGTCCTGACTATGCTCAGGAATCACTCTCAGCAGGCTTATCGTATGGGATGCCAGGAATTTGGGTCTGCTGCTTCCTAGGTAGTACCTTACCCCCTGTACTCTGACTCTCAAGGTGTTTGAGTAGGTTTCAACATAATAACTTATTAGATACCTTGCCAAAATACTAAATACTTCATGAGTTAGTTGAATTCCTATCAAAGAGCAGGAATAAGGCCTATATGCTCTAGTTGAATTTGCCCTTTACAGACTCAAAGAAATTGAGTCGTGAGTTGTTCATTACTGTTTTGAGGAGGGGGTGGTAAAGGTCACACCTAAGTGCCCAGGGGTCACTCCTAGTGGTGATCAGGGGACCAAGTGGTGCTAGAAATAGAACTGAGATTAGTCATATGGCAAGGAAAGTACCTTAACTTTTGTATTATCCAGCTTTTTACTGTATCCATGAATTTTTCTTAGTTTGCATGACCGTAGGGGGGTTTTTGTTTGTTTGTTTTGTATTTTTCAGTTATTTGGCATTTGGGAACACACTCCTTAATGCGCAGGGTTTACTTCTGGCTCTGTACTCATGAATTATTCCTGGTGGTGCTCAGAGGATTCATATGGGATGCCTGGGATCAAACCCAAGTCAGCCGCATGCAAGGCAAACACCCTCCCCACTGTACTATCACTCTAGCCCCATGACTATTTTTAGTGGTACAATTTTATGCCACTTTAAAGTATATTACTACATCATTATTACTTTCAGTATACTAATAACCCTCTAACATGCTTCACTCACCCTCTGGTAACATCCTTCAGCTCTGTAATCTGAGACCATAGGTTTGTTTTTAATTGATTTTATTTTGCCTGGTGGGCTGGAGCGATAGCACAGCAGGTAGGGCATTTGCCTTACATGCGGTCAACATGGCTGACCCAAGTTCTATTCCTCCACCCCTCTCAGAGAGCCCTGCAAGCTACCTGTGACGTATTCGGTATGTCAAACACAGTAAAAAGTCTCACAATGTTACTGGGCTCCTTGAGCAAATCGATGAACAATGGGAGAACAGTGACACAGTGATTTTGCCTGGTCCCTTGTTAGCTTCTTTGTTACTTCTTTGTTATTCATAGCCCACAGATGAGTAACATCATTCAATATTTGTCTTTCCCCTTCTGATTTTGTCATACTTTTGTATGACCATCTCTGATTCATCCGTATTGTCGAAAAATGCAAAATTTCATTCTTTTGACTGAATTCTGTTGTGTATATTTGTTATGATTTTTTACCTCTTTATTGGGTACTTGGGTGATTTTCATATCTTAGTTATTTTAAGGGCTGGAGTGATAGCACAGCGGGAAAGGTGTTTGCCTTGCATGCGGCCAACTCGAGTTCGATTCCTCCGTCCCTCTCATAGAGCCCAGCAAGCTACCCGTGATGTATTTGATATGCCAAAAACAGTAGCAAGTCTCACAATTTGTTGTGAGACATTACTGGTGCCCGCTCGAGCAAATCGATGAACAACGGGTGGACAGTGCTACAGTTACTATAAATAGTGCTGCATTGAACATTGGTGTGCACTTACCTTTAGGAATTACTGCATTTATGTTCTTCAGATAGTATCTACAAGTGAAATTGATCTGTCATTTAGTAGATCTACTTAATATTTTGAGACTTCTTTCTGTTTTCCATTGCAAATGAGCCATTTGCATTTTCAGCATCCGTGTATTAGGATTCCCTTTTCTCCACATCCCTGAATGTACTTGCTTCTGCTTTTTTTGATGTAGGTCATTCTGACAGGTATAAGGTAATGTCCCATTGTCATTTGTTCATTTACATTCACCTGATAGTCTTTTTTTTTTCCATGTAGTCACTGACCATGTTTATCTTTGATGTAGATCATCATCTCATCTGGAACTTAGCCTAGAACTACCTGAAAACCCACTAATACAACACATCTGCACATCAAAGTTAGTATATATACATATTTCCTTGCTAGGTCTGAGGAGAGAGCGTGGAATTAGTTATTCCTTGTAGCAGCAAGCAGTCCTAGTACCTAGATCTTGTTTTCTAAATACCATTCTCCAGTTAAAAGAACCATGATTTCTTGAAGAAATAGCAGCATGGCATAAAGGAAAAATGAATGTTAATTTTTGGGGTTTCTCCTACATACATTAATACCATATTCATGCTTATGACCGATGATTGTGAGACTGTTTCCCATTCCTCTCCACACCTGCCCAGTAAGCAATTCTCTGCAATACTATTTAGGTATTCTGCAATTTAACAATTCTGACACTACTTGGAGACATTACATCCCACAAGCTAAGGATTTAGTCCTTTAAGATCTCCCCACTCCAGGTGCCAGTTATAAATCTTGACTTTTATTGGCACTTCTGGTGGTAAATCAGTCACCTATAACCCTCTCTGTGGTCAGTTACTTTGCTGGAGTGACTCAGAATTCAGAAATTAGTTCCTATGTTATTGATCATATTATAAAACAGTACTATGAGTCAGATCCATCGGGCTATGTGAAAAGAGGTGTGGAACATCAGTTGCTCTTTGGCACCTTCATGTGTTTATCCAGAAGATCCCTGAACATAATAACTTTGAGAATTAATGAGACTTCATCATTCACATGTGATTTATCAATTGGTAACTCAGTTTCTAACCCCTTCTCAATAAGATGGTGGGTGGAGCTAAAAATTTCAAGGTTCCAATTCTGACTTGATCATTCTAGTGATCAATACCCGTCCAGATCATTACAACAAGCCACTTCATAGAATAAAGGTGTTCCTATTCCTTTGTCCTGAGAAGTTCCAAAGGAATTTGGTGTTTGGTGCCAGGAACCAGAGTCAAAAGTATTATGCAAACGGTATTGCTAGTGCTCACAGCACTTAGGAAACTTACCAGGGGCTGCTGACCAAGATCCAGGTTAAAGATCAAAATAATTATTTCCTACTTGTCTCACCTAAGAGTTAATATAAAATAGCCTGGTAAATAGTGCCAGAAAGCAAGGGGATATTGAGAAATGCAAAAGGACAGAAAGGAGTGAAATAAATGCACTGAAATGAAACCTTTCAGTGGTCAAAGCTGGAACAATTTGAGCAACAAAATTAGTAGCCTGGTATAAAATAAACGTAATCCTGTGCTAACATAAGCAATTTAATTAATAAATGGAAAAGACAGAAGAATAGTACTGATGCCATTTCCAAAAATAGAGCTAAATCCCTTTTCTTTGAATGGGAATGACCGATGATAGTCTAATGAACAGGGGTAAGAAGTCACAGGAGACTGAAATAAATGGCAACAGCAAAAAGAAATAATTTTCATATAGTTCGAATGGCTGACTAACAAAGCAGAATTTAGAAAGAAAAGTGATAACTGGTGGAGAAACCTAGGAATGTCTGTTCGTGGACAGCATAAGGGTTTGAAATCCTATGATCTGGCCTGGGTACATGACAAGACACACACATGGTTCTCATTGACTGCAGCTTGTCTGTTTATGTTGTATGGGTTGTATCGCCCACAGATATTGTTAAAAAAATATCTTAATGGAAGCTGGAAAGAGTGCAACAGGGCAATTGCCTTGCACACGGCCAACCTGGTATTCTGTCCCCAGCACCCTATATGGATCGCATTCAAATTACAATTCTCCATAAAAAACCGAGCAGGATTGGGGCTGAGAGTACAGCAGGTAAGATGCTTACCTTGCCCTTGACCAACCCAACCTGGGTTCAATTCCTAGTACCTCATATGGTCCCCTGAGCACTGCCAGGTGTGGTCCAAAAATAACAAAGCTGAACAAGATTACTCTCAGACAAGCAGTAATACTGTCACTGTTCTTCCCTTGTTCATCGATTTGCTCGAGCGGGCCCAGTAACATTGTGGGACTTGTTACTGTGTTTGGCATATCAAATACCTCACGAGTAGCTTGCCAGGCTTTGCTGGGTGGGTGAAATACTCTCGGTAGCTTGCCGGGCTCTCCGAGAGCAGCGGAGGAATCGAACACAGGTCAGCCAGGTTGGCTGCGTGCAAGGCAAACGCCCTACCCGCTTTGCTATTGCTCCAGCCCAAGCAGTAGTATATACACTCCATATAGTGCCTCTATGCTTGAGCTGGTTTTGCTATTTGAAAAAGGAGAAGATAGCTTAAGTTTTTGTCCTTAAAACAGCTGTATCTCTCTGTGTGTATGACCCAACACTGTAAATAACAGCCTCCTTTCCACTGGTCGAAATGTTTACAGAATTCTTAGCTTCAATTGAGGGATAAAGACCACAGCTCTCTAAGTCAGGAATATCAAAGTCACATAAGAAGAGCAAGTAGAGGGACTGGAGAGTACAAATATTAAGGCACTTTCCTAGCTTGCAGCTGTTATTGTGACTGGTTTGGATCCTGACACTACCTAAGGTCCTCCAAGCACCACAAGGTATGGCCACTGAGAGGAGTCACTTGTAGACCCCCTACACATCACCACACACACACATGCAAAGAGCATATCAGATGGAATTGTGGAGATTGTAAACCATAAAAACTGGATTTACCATTCATAACATAGTTCGAAGAATCTGCTTTCAAAGTAATTTTCCTTAAAACTGAATCTGATTCGGTTAACTTATCAGCCATAATTTTTCAGTGAGCACTTCCCCTCATAAGGTCAAACAGTTCTAGGTATCTACATCAAACCTGCCACAGCTCTTAGAACATACCTGCAGAGTGTTCTCCTGAAAAATTCCTATGTCCTTGCCAGATCCTAATTCAAATAATACCTCTTCTTTGGGAGCCATCTTTCTATTTCTTTCTGCCTCCGCATTACCCAATAGATTTTTCCTTCCATTAAGTTAAGAACCTCAATCAGTCCATCGTTTTGGTCTTATTTTTTTGTTTCCAATTCATGTTCCTGATAAGACATCATGTTCAACCTCAACCCCAAATCTACCTCTTTCTCTTACTCATGTCCCCTTTCTCTAGAAACTTTTATACCTAACAAATTTCTTCCTCAGTACTATGTGTATCCCTCAAGGCCCAGTTGAAAGTCTGCTCCTATGAAAATGGCTCAACTTCTTTTTCCCATACAGATTTCTATTCTTCATAGACCTATAGTGATGAGTTTATAATTTATCATTTATATACTGTCTTATCAGACTTCTGCATGAGGCCAAACTAAGTTGTTCAAGCTGTTAAGTAACAAGTTCATGTTTCTTTTTATCACTATAGCATCTAGCATTACAGGAATAATACACATTTTATATATGAAACTCGTTTAATATGATTGAATAACTTAGTAAGTCTTGTATTTGTTTTCATTTTCAAATAACTTGTATTTGTTTTCATTTTCAGTCACAAAAAGTGAACTAGAGTGTTTGGTCAAACTTTTTCACACCTTTGTAAAATCAAATGACATAAGACCTGATATTGTTGGACTAGATCGTGTTGCATTTCGAAGGATTCTGCACAGCATATTTGGAATGACCGATGATAGTCTAATGAATAGGGGTAAGACATCACAGGAGACTGAAATAAATGGCAACAGCAAAAAGAAATAATTTTCATATAGTTTTCTTTGGCATCTATACTCAGTATTTTTATGAAAACTGATAAAAACTAGAAATTTGAGCAATGTTGCCAATATAAAATAATAGTTGATTATGAGGATGCTTTTTAATATAAACTAACTCAGAATTTAAGATGTGCCATTAGAAATAATAAGTAATGTATTAAATAAACTAGCTATTGTACTTTTTCAGATGAGTCTGTTCTCCCAAGTTGAACCAAGAAGATACAGAACATCTGAATAGGTCAATTACTATAGAAGTAATCGAAATGGTAATCAAAAGTCTCCCGAAAACAAAAACTCAGGCCTGATAGGTTCACTATTGAGTTCTTTCAAACTTTTAGAGGACTACTACTGATCCTGTTCAGACTACTTCAGAAAATTGAAGAAACAACTGACAAATTGTTTCTATGTGCCAAATATTACTCTGATACAAAAAAAAAGGAAACCAAACAGACCTAAATCCATGACTTAGATGCAAAGATCCTCAAAATACTAGCAAATTGAATCCAACCACACATCAAAATGACCATATACCATGATTAAGAAAAATTCATTCCAGGGAAGCAAGGATGGTTTAACATATACAAGTCAGTCAATGTAATACACTATATCAATACCAAAAAAAAAAGAAAATCAAGAATCATCAATAGATGCAGAGAATGCAGTTGATTAGATCCAGCACACATACATGATCAAAGCAAAACTACCAATACAATGGAAATTGAGGGAACTTTCCTTAACATAGTTAAAGCCATTTACCACAAGCCCTTAACAAAGATGCTCAACGGGAAACATTAAAACCTAAAAAACTGGGGCTGGAGCAATAGTACAGCGGGTAGCACAGCGGCAACCCGGGTTCCATTCCCGGCATCCCATATGGTCCCCCAAGCACCGCCAAGGGTAATTTCTGAGTGCATATCCAGGAGTAACCCCTGAGCATCGCCGGGTGTGACCCAAAATGAAAAAAAAAAATCTTCCAAGATCAGGTAAAAAACAAGACTGCCCACTTTCAGCACTTTTATTTATTTATTTTATTAATTTTTATTAGTGAAACACCATGAGGTACAGTTGTAGACTTACAAATTTTTGTGCTTGGGTTTCAATTATACAGTGATCAAATACCCATCCTTCCACCAGTGCCCATTTTCCACCACCATGGATCCCAGTATCCCTCCATCCCCATCTCCTCCATCCCACCTTGCCTCTGTGGCAGGGCATTCCCTTTTGTTCTCTCTTTCCTTTTGGGTGTTGTGGTCTGCAAAAGAGGCATTGAGTGGCAATCATGTTCAGTCCATAGTCTACTTTCAACATGTATCTCCCATCCTGGGAGGATCCTCCAAACACCCTTTATTTGGTGCTCCCTTCTCTATCTGAGCTGCCCTTTCCCCTAGAATGCCTGACTGGCCTCTAAGCCTTGGAGTAATTCTCCTGGTACTGATCTGGGCTATTCTTAGGTATTAATCTCCTATTTTGTTACTTATGTCCCCCAGATGAATGCAATCTTTCCATGTCTACCCTCTCTTTCTGACTCATTTCGCTTAGCATGATACTTTCCATGTAGTACCACTTGTATGTAACTTTCATGACTTCATCTTTTCTAACAGCTACATAGTACTCCATTGTGTAGATGTACCAAAGTTTCTTTAACCAGTCATCTGTTCTTGGGCACTCAGGTTTTTTCCAGATTCTGGCTACTGTAAAGAGTCAGCACTTTTAATGGTACTTTCAAAGATGCCACACCACTGGCCGAGCAAGTGAAAACAGAGATAGATAAATGGGACTATCTTAAACTAAGAAGCTTCTGCACCTCCAAAGAAACAGTGACCAAAATACAAAGACAGTCTACAGAATGGGAAAGGATATTCGCCAAACACACATCTGACAAGGGGTTGATAACAAGGATATACAAAATACTGGTTGAACTCCACAGGAAGAAAACATCCAACCCCATCAAAAAATGGGGCAATGAAATGAACAGAAACTTTCTCAAAGAAGAAATCTGAATGGCAAAAAAGCGCATGAGAAAATGCTCTACATCATTAATCATCAGGGAGATGCAGATCAAAACCACAATGAGATACCATCTCACACCTCAGAGACTGGCCCACATTCAAAAGAACAAAAGCAACCGATGCTGGCACGGATGTGGCGAGAAAGGGACACTCCTTCACTGTTGGTGGGAATGCCGACTAGTTCAGCCCTTTTGGAAAACAGTATGGACGATTCTCAAAAAATTAGAAATTGAGCTCCCATTTGACCCAGCGATACCACTCCTGGGAATATACCCCAGAGAGGCAAAAATGTGTAGTCGAAGTGACATCTGCACTTGTTTGTTCATTGCAGCACTCTTTACAATAGCCAGAAACTGGAAGAAACCTGAGTGCCCAAGAACAGATGACTGGTTAAAGAAACTTTGGTACATCTACACAATGGAGTACTATGTAGCTCTTAGAAAAGATGAAGTCATGAAATTTACATACAAGTGGTACAATATGGAAAGTATCATGCTAAGCGAAATGAGTCAGAAAGAGAGGGATAGACATAGAAAAATTGCATTCATCTGGGGGATATAAAGCAACAAAATATGAGATCAATACCTAAGAATAGCTGAGATCAACACCAGGAGGATTACTCCATAACTTAGAGGCCAGCCGGATATTCTAGGGGAAAGGGCAGTTCAGATAGAGAAGGGAACACCAAATGAAAGGTGTTTGGAGGATCCTCCCTGGAGGGGAAATGCATGTTGAAAGTAGACTATGGACTGAACATGATTGCCACTCAATGCCTCTTTTGCAGACCACAACACCCAAAAGGAGAGAGAGAACAAAGGGAAATGCCCTGCCACAGAGGCAGGGTGGGAGGGGGGGTGGGGGGAAATGGGCACTGGTGGAGGGATGGGTATTTGATCATTGTATGACCGAAACTCAAGCACAAAGATTTGTAAATCTACAACTGTAAAAAAAAAAAAAGAATTAAATTACTGTATCGTGTATAGCTCTATTTTCACATTTTTGAAAAGTTTTCATATATTCCACAAAGTAAAATTAATGATACTCTCAAAAAAAAAGAGTCAGCACTTTTATTAAACATAGTACTGGAAGTACTTGAATTAGCAGTTAGGCAAGAAAAATTTCAGGGCCAGAGCAATTTGCCTTGCACGCAGTCCACCCTGGTTCAATCCCCAGCATCCCCCAAGCACCACCAGGAGTAATTCCTGAGTGCAGAGCCAGGAGTAATCCCTGAGCATCGCTGGATCTGACCCAAAAAGAAAAAAGAAAAAAAATAAAGAAAAGAAAATGATTCAGAGCATCCAGATAGGAAAAGAAAAGTCGTGTTTTCACTACTTCCTGATGACATGATATGAATATTATAATTAGAAAACCCTACTCTACAAAGAAGTTCCTAGAAATAATACACTTGTCTAATAAAGTGGCAGCCGGCAAAATTAATATGCGAAGGTCCATAGTTTTCCTATACGTAAATAATAGAAGAGAGAAATTTTTTTAAAAATCTTATTTACAGTTGTGCCCCAGAAAATCAAGTACCCAGGCATCATCTTAATAGAAGTGAAAGGCCTATACAGAGAAAACTACAAAACACTACTGAAAGAAATAAAAGAGGACATGAGGAAATAAGAACAACCTCTGACCATGGATTGGTAAGTTAACATCAAAACGGCAATACTCTCCAAAGCATTATACAAATTCAACACGGTCCCTAAAAGGACATCCCTGACACTCTTCAAAGACACTCTTCAAATATTGAACACTTGAAATCACATGCACAATAAAACCCCCTTAATAGCCAAAGCAATCCTCAGGGAAAAAAGAAGATAGGAACCATCACTTTCCCCAACTTTAAGCTGTACTGCATAGTAGTAATTAAAACAGCATGATATTGGAATGAGAACAGCAGAGACTGATTCTCAAATATATGGTCAGTTATTCTTTGATAAAGGAACAAAGAATATGATTTGGAGCAAGGAAAGCCTCTTCAACAAGTGGTATTGGGAAAACTGGTCATTCGTAGGGAAAGAAAACCACAAACTCATGCCGTTTTAAATCCATGCACAAAGGGCAAGTCAAAATGGATTCAAGACCTTCATAGCAGACCTGAAGCCATAAGTTACATAGGAAAAACATGCAGATCTACCCAAGGCATTAAAGTTAGAGGCATCTCTTAAGGATATAACACCATTGACCAAGCACATATAAGCAAAAATAAACAAACGGGACCTTGTTGAATAAGGAAGGTTCTGCACCTCAAAGGAAATGATGATCAGAATACAAAGACAGTCCACAGACTCAGAGAGAGTATTTGCCCAGTATATGTATGACTGAGGGTTAATATCCAAGTTATATAAAGCGCTGAAAAAAATTTCATGCAACCCTATCCAAAAAAATGAGAAGAAATAAACAGAAACTTCCTCAATAAAATACAGATAGCCAAAAGACATATGAAAAATGCTCTGTCACTAATCATAAGGGAAATGCAAATCAAAACAATAATGAGCTATCACCACAGACTGGCACACATCAAAAAGAATAACCACCAATGTTCACATGAGTTCAGGGGAAAAGGGACCCTCATTCACTGCTTGTGGGAATGTCAACTGGTCTAACTTTTTCAGATGATAATATGGACTTTAGCACTGCACTGTAGCACTGTCCTCCCACTGTTCATCGCTTTGCTCGAGCGGGCCCAGTAAAGTCTCCATTGTGAGACTTGTTACTGTATTTGGCATATTGAATACGTCACGGGTAGCTTGCCAGGCTTTGTCGTGCGGGTGAGATACTCTCGGTAGCTGAGAGGGGCAGAGGAATAGAACCCAGCTCGGCCAGGCTGGCTGCATGCAAAGCAAATGCCCTATTGCTGTGCTATCACTCCAGCCTGATAATAAGGACATTCCTCAAAAAACTTGGAATTCAACTGCCACTAGACCCAGCAATTCCACTCCTTGAAATATACTCCCAAAGGTCCATATACTTTTGCACTACTATGTTTGTTGCAACACTATTCACAATAGCCCAAATCTGGAAATAACCCAAGTGCCCAAGAACAGAAAACTAGATAAAGAAGCTATAGTACATACACACATGGAGTACTACTCAGCTGTAAGAAAAGGTATCGAACATAAGATGATGGTGTGGTAACATGAACAGGTTAGTTCTGAGTATCTGGGCCAATGTTAGTTCAGGTTTTGTCAGCAGCAGTAATCGGCTGATGAAGAATGTTAGGTTACTTGACCAAGATGCTGAACATCGGGGTCTTCAGCAACAGCTCTCACCAGGATTTATCCCAGAAAATTGCCAGCCGCGTATGCTTCTAACTAGGCAAGGTGCTGACTAAGAAATTTAGTAACCAGGAGACCTGTGTAGAGATTGGTGATTGGTGAAAGTATTCAGGGAGAGGATGTCTGCATTGTGCAGAGTGGTTGTGGTGAAATCAATTACAACTTCATGGAGCTTTTAGAACTTTTTTTTTTGGGGGGGGGGGTCACACTGGCAATGCATAGGAGTTACTGCTGGCTTTGCACTCTGTAATTACTCCTGGCAGTCGGTGCTCAGGGGACCACATGGGATACTGGGAATCGAACCCAGGTAAGCTGCATGCAAGGCAAACGCCCTACTCACTGTACTATCACTCCAGCCCCTCATGGAGCTTTTGATTATGATTAATGTCTGCAAAATTGCTTCAGTCAGCCGAGTTACAGAAGTCATCCCATGCTTCCACTATGTGCAACAGAACAAGAAGGATAATAGCCAATATCCAAACTCAGCCAAGCTTGTTGCAAATATGCTTTCTGTAGCCAGTGCAGACCATGTTAACACCATGGACCTTCATGCCTCCCAAATTCAGAGTTTTTTTTATATCCCAGTGGACAATCTGTATGCAGAGCCAGCCATCTCAAGTGCATATGAGAGAACATGTTTAGAGTTAAAAAATTATCATTGTTTCACTAGATGCTGATGGAGCTAGGAGAGGGACCTCCATTGCTGACTGGTTGAATGTGGATTTTTGCCTTGATTCACAAAGAACAAAAGAAGGCAAGTTAAGTGAACTGTATCATGCTGGTAGGTGACTTCAAGGACTGAGTTGCCATCCTGGCGGATGACATGGCTGACTCGTGTGGCACAATCTGTCATGTGGCCTACAAACTTCTCTTAGCTGGAGCCACCAGAGTTTATGCTATCTTGACCTATGGAATTTTTTCGGGTCCGGCCATTTTATGCATCAACAATACACGTTTTGAAGCTGTAGTAGTCACCAACACCGTACCTCAAGAGGATAGATGAAACATTGCTTCAGAATATGGTGATCGACATCTTCATGATCCCAGCAGAAGCCATCAGGAGAACTCACAATGGGGAATCAGTTTTCTACCTGTTTTGCTATGTCCCTTTATAATAGGAAAACTGCCAAGGCTCTCTAAAAGTCAAATGAGCCCACTCCACCCCTGTCACCCTTCTTCCCTTTGTTACTCAATGAAAGGTTGAACAGATGCATCCAGTAATTAGTTTCGTTTACCCACTTCAGTGTTTCTCTTAAATGTAGGCAAAGACAGATTGGGATGAACTACTTGGATTTCCCACTATATTGTTTCCTTCTTGCTGCTTGGGTTCAGTGAGTCTTTTGGTTTTCACTCCTGCTCAGCTGTTGAAAGATTTAGCAGCTGGAGGGTGTTGTGGAGAGCTATTGGGGATTATGAAATCTTGTGAAGCTCCTTTGATCTTTTACAAATATTTGCATGACAGTATTTCTAGGATTCCTTAATTCAGATCCGCTAATAACAAAACCAACCCAACATTTACCCAAATTCCACCCTCCCGCCTCTGCACCTCAGCCCTAAGTCTTTTAGGTTTTTAAAGTCTGTATCAAATAATTGCAAAAACCCTGATTGCCAAGTGCTTGTCTTCGTCGGTTCTCAACCCAGCTTGAGCAGAGCTCAGATGGGCACCCAAGGGGAGCCAGTGCACAGCACAGCAAAGGCTTGGGAGAAAAAAGCCAAATTAATCACCCTCATGCGATTCAGTAACAAGGATTCTCCTTTCTACTCATCATCCTTACTCTTTGGCCTCATTGAACTTCTGTATCTTTTCCTGGCCAAATGTCCTCAGAAACCCAACCAACTGGGGCCGGAATGATAGTACAGCGGGTAGGGCATCCCATATGGTTCCCCCAGCACTGCCAGGAGCAATTTCTGAATGCAGAGTCAGGGGTAACCCCTGAGCATTGCTGGATGTGACCCAAAAAGCAAAAAGAAACCTAACCAATCAGGGTTTGGGTTATCACAGACTTCCAAAAAAAAAAAAAAACCTGACTCCTTCTAGGTAATCTATACCACTTCTATAAGATTACTGTAACATACTCTCCTCCCTAGCCTGCTACCCTGGGGTAGTGGGTTATAGGTGTTGGTATAGTGCCTTTTAAGTATTAAATTTTGGTCTTCCTTCCTTGGACCAATTTAACCTCCCATGAACTGTTAAAAAAAATTAAAAAGATTTGACTGTCTCCTTGGAAGAAATTAATTTTAAAAAATGTGATGGGGGGATGGAGCAATAGCACAGTGGGTAGGACATTCGCCTTGCACGTGGATGACCTGGGTTTGAGGACGACCTGGGTTCGATTCCCAGCATCCCATATGATCCCCCTGAGCACCGCCAGGGGTAATTTCTGAGTGCAGAGCCAGGAGTGACCCCTGTGCGTGGCAGGGTGTGACCCAAAAAGAAAAAAAAGTGATCTGTCAAAAAAAAGAGAGAAATTTGCTGCTAATGTGGATGAATCTGAAGATTATACTGAGTGACATTAGAGCGATAGGGAGAGGCACAGAATGATCTCTCATATGTGGATTATAAAGAAATAGTAGGTAATTAAAAAAAATAAAATAAAGAAATAGTAGGGGAAGAGCAAAAGCCCAAAGGCAACAGACCCTAAGGGCTAATGATGCTCAGTAGGAAATTTTTCACTGGAGGAGGAGGAGCTAGAATAGGGAAGGGAACACTATGACAGTGGTGAAGGAAAGTGATCACTCTAGAGAAGGATGCAGGAGGGAAACTGAAGACATTGGTGGAGGGGAGTAGACACTAGTGAAGGAACTGGTATTGGTAAATTGTATACTGGAAAAAGTAAAATTGTATGCCAGAAATCAATCATGAAAACTCATGGTGATAAAAAAAACTTTTAGAAAGATAAGTATGATTTTTAATTGTTTTTAGACTCACATGCTATAGATATGTAACTTATTAAATGTCTTATATTACTCATAAGGAAAAAATGTAACTGTTCAAAAGTGACAATTTCTCACAGTGAAAAATGTGAAAAATGTCAACAGGTCATGTTTAAAATTATAAATTACTTAATGTGACTCAGTCTTACTAATAGAGCTTAGTGTTCAATTTAATGTTTTTTACATATGTATAAACGCTTGAAATCTTAACTATGATCAAAATAACCTATTTTTCATGTCCAAAAAGACAATATTTTATTTTCTATTGGATGATACTATGAATTTATTGGTAATTAAAAATAATAGCATTTTTGTGACTATCTTTATATTTAGATACTACAATCTGGTAGAAAATTTTACTATTCTTTTTAGACTTAACTTATCAAACTCTTTAGCTCTCCACTGTTTATAGTCTTTGCTCATTTTAAGCTTTTTTTAATTCTTGGCTCATTTTAACTGTATATTATTATAATAAAATTCATCATTGAAGAAAAATGACTCTAAAAATTTTAGTGAGATATTCAGCTATTCTGACTTAAAACTTTGCCAAAATCTCACCCCATATGATAGAATTCCTTTTATATTTATTTATACATATATAATCTTGCATTATAAAATAGGTCTAAATTACAATATTTTTGTATGTTATTTTTCTTTTAGTATTTTCTGCTTTTGACAAAGACAAGGACAACTTCATAAATGTAAACGAGTGGGTTAAAGGATTGTCAGTGTTTCTTCGAGGAACCTTTGAAGAAAAGCTAAAGTGTAAGATTTCTATGTGTCATTCATTTAGTAATATGTAGTATCATTTCTAACTTCCTGCATGTTTAATTTTTTTTTGGCTTTTTGGGTCACACCAGGCGATGCACAGGGGCTACTCCTGGCTCTGCACTCAGGAATCACCCCTGACGGTGCTCAGGGGACCATATGGGATGCTGGGAATCGAATCTGGGTTGGCCACATGCAAGGCAAACTCCCTACCTGCTGTGCTATCACTCCAGCCCCTTAATTTTTTTTTTTTTTTTTTTGCTTTTTGGGTCACACCCGGCGATGCACAGGGGTTACTCCTGGCTCATGCGCTCAGGAATTGCTCCTGGCAGTGCTCGGGGAACCATATGGGATGCTGGGAATCGAACCTGTGTCGGCCATGTTGGCTGCGTGCAAGGCAAACGCCTTACTCGCTGTGCTATCGCTCCAGCGCCCCAGCCCCTTAATTTTTATATAGAAATGTAAAGTTTGTGTTTTCTGTAGCGACCTTGTAGAAATAGTTAATGATAGTTTTTTTTTGTGGGATTGGGAGGAGTCTCACATGCAGCTGTGCACAGGGCATACTCCTGACGCTTAACTCAGGAAACACTCTGGCAGGGCTTTGGGGAGCATTATTTAGTCCCGGGAATCAAAGTTAGGTTGGCTGCAAGCCTCCAGCGTGCTGGGGTTTGGAGTGACCCTATGCTTTCCTATAGTGCTTGCAAAAACATTATGAAATGGTTTGAGGCCTTGCCCTGCTCCATCCACAGCAAAGTTATAGAAATTTCAGACCATTGGAAAACAACAACAATAACAACAACAACAACAACAAGAAAGTCCGGTTGACCACACACGAAGCAAGCACCTTATGCACTGTACTATTTCTTTGGACTCATGACAGCTTTTTATTTTTGAGGGGGGGTGGGAAGGTGTTCACATCTGGTGATGCTCAGGGGTTACTCCTGGCTCTGAACTCAGGAATTACTCCTGGCAGTGCTCAGGGAAACATATGGGATGTCGGGGATCAAATCCGGGTCTGCCATGTACAAGGCAAAAGCCCTACCCACTGTACTATTTCTCTGGTCCACCATGATAGCAGTTATTTCATAGATGAGCCTCTCATCTCAGGGCCCTCCCTTCTTTCACTTGCTCTCTCGATTAAGACTGAAGCTAATTTCAACAGCTAAAACAACTCCTGATTACCTGGCTAGGCTGAGGTTTCTAGGGCTCTTTCTCTGCCCAGCAAGAAATGAGCAGAACACAGGTTACACCGGGTCTATTTCTTGTTCAAAAGAACACCTCCAGGGCTGGACACGTAGAACATAAGTCTCACACATGTGAGAGAGATCCTCGGTCTAATCTCTGGCAACACACATGCAATGGACAATGATACCAACATTTCTAAACATCCCCCCCAACTTTCTCTCATTGCTAACTTTCTACTTTTTATAGGGGCACTGTCAGCAGAGATTGGGGCCTTCTGTGGTGTGCAGGAGACACTGGATGATAATTGGTTGTGCTTGGGGTTGAGGATCATGTGGTGCCATGGATCCAACTCAGGTCTTGCATATACAAGGCATGTGCTTTATCACTTGAGTCACATTCTTGATCTCTATTGATGACATTTTTGTATTGTTTTATGTCACATCAATTAGTGCTCAGGGATTGCTTCTGGCTCTGCATTAATGGATCCCTTCTGGCAGGGTTTGGGGACCATATAAGGTGTTGGGGACTAAACAGACGTTGGCACTGTAAATGTGCCCTACCTGCTGTATATATCTCCTGGCCCAATTCAGTATTCTTATACAATCTCACTGAAATGTAGACTTCCCGAGTCTAAATTCTATAATTATTTAGACACTGAAAATGGTTATGACAATGAAGTAGTTCTACTTGACTGAGTAGCACCACACTGTCAAATGTGCGTCTAACTTCCCAAAAGTGTTACATGCATATTTAATGATAAATTAATTGGGGGGGCAGAGGATAGGATAGTGCCTTTAGAGGAATTGTGCTGCAAATTCATGTGTAGATTACAAATTGAAGAAACTCACTAGATCTAGTGGGGGGGGGGTTAATTCTCTTGCCCTGCATGCAGCCAATCCATGTCTAAGTCGCAGTACCATATGTGGTCACCCAAACAACTCCTGGAGTGATCCCTGAGCAAAGCCAGGAATAAGCTCTAAGTAAGAGCCAAATGTTCTTTGTCAGTGATACAGTGAAATTCAGATATTTTTTCTCTGTAAAAAAAAAGAATTATTGAGATACATATATGCATGTGTATATAAATGATTGTTATCATCTTAGCTTCCTAACATTTTGGGGGGATGGAAGGTTGGGATACATCTGGCAGTACTCAGGGTCTATCTCTGATTTTGAACTCAGGTCACTCCTAACAGTGCTTGGGGGACCATATGTAGTAATAGGTAGCAAACGGGGGGTTATCGATGTGCAAGGCAAGCACTTAACCCCTATACTATTTCTCTGACCTAGCTTCCTAACATTTTAAACTTTAAGTTTTGAAACCCAGAGATTATAAATATTTCTTTTCACCTATCAAAGGGTATTTAAAGATATGTATTTTTCCCCATTTAGGGTCATAACCAGCAGTGCTCAGGATTTACTCTTGGTTCTGTGCTTAGGAATTACTCCTGGCAGTGCTCAGAGGAACATATTGGATGCTTGGGATTGAACCCAGGTTGGCCAAGTGCAAGGCAAACACCCTACCTGCTACGCTATTGCTCTAGCCCCATTAATCTAGTACAGTAAAATATAACAAAGGGTGCTTCATTTTACAGTTGCTCTACCTGATAAGCGATCACTGGATTCTATTCTTCTTTTTGAAATACCTAATGAGATTGATGAATTTGTTTTGATTTGGGGTTAACCTGGCAGTGTTCAGAGATCACTCTTCACAGGAGTGCTCAGGGGGCCATATGAGGTGGCAGAAATTAAACCTGGATTGATCATGTACTAGATAAGCACACTATCCACTGTACTGCTATCTCTTCAGCCTCCAAGGTTTGATGACTTTTTAATTGTTCTTATCCAAGTCTTTAAATTTTATGCTTTGGAAAGTCTGTTTTGAAGCATACTATTTGAATGGTGATGGCTACATTTCTCGAGAGCAAATATTTGACATGCTGAAGAACAGTCTAAACCAACCATCAAACGAAGAAGAGAGTTATGAAGGCATAGAAGAGTTGGTTGATATAACATTGAAGAAAATGGTAAGAATTTTAAAAAATGGTAAGTCATATACAGCCAAATGGACATTGGGTAAAGCTAAAGAAATGGATTTTTTCCCTCTATATTCACTATAGAGAGCAGGAGTATTGTTATTTTCTTCTTTACTGACTAGAATGGTAGTTGATGTCCAGTAAATTCTTGTGGAAGATTGGGTAATCAAATAAATCCCTATAAAATGTATATTAATATTAGCACTGTCCTCCCGTTGTTCATCAGTTTTCTCAAGTGGGCACCAGTAACGTCTCCATTGTGAGATTTGTTGTTACTGTTTTTTGGCATATCGAATACATCACAGGTAGCTTGCCAGGCTTTGCCGAGCAGGTGGAATACTGTCAGTAGCTTGCTGGGATCTCTGAGAGGGGCGGAGGAATCAAACCCAGGTCGGCTGCGTGCAAGGCAAATGCCCTACCCGCTACGATATCACTCTGGCCCATATTAATATTATTAGTTTTATTTATTTATTTTTTTGCTTTTTGGGTCACACCTGGCAATGCACAGGGGTTACTCCTGGCTCTGCACTCAGGAGTTAGTCCTGGCAGTGCTCAGGGGACCATATGGAATGCTGGGATTTGAACCTGGGTCGGCCACGTGCAAGGCAAACGCCCTACCTGCTGTGCTATCTCTCCAGCCCCAATATCATTAGTTTTAAATGTTTTACTTTATTAAATGAGCAGGAACAGATTTAACTTGTGTAAAATTGAATACTAATCATCTTTCTTCATAACCTTAACCCTCAGTTTTTAAAAAAATAGTGTAATAAATAGAATAACAGTGATAATGTAGAGTGCTTATGATATGCCAGACCCTTCACAAAACATTAATATAGGGGCGAATTTTGCACCCCAAACTTCTGAAAAAATTATTGCTTCTATTTTGCATATGAGAATAAAGTATAGATAGTCTTACTCAAGGTCACTCTGAAAAAGGGGGTGTGGAATTCATCTTTTAATGAAGCTAGTAACCCGCTATGATGGATTTGGTGATTCCTACTGCCTTCTTACTACAGCTCAAAGTTGGATACCAGTGCAGATTTGTAACTCTGAGGTCACCTGGACCCCATTACTTCTATTGCTCTGGAGTTGAGAAAAGAACCAAGTGTTTGCTGCCAAGTAGAAGGACCCAACCCCGGCTCCAGAGGATTCTCCTCCTCTGGAAATAACCAGCAGCTATAACCACTGAGCATAACAGTATGTTCCTGTATCAACACATGCCCAAATAATATTTGGGTTGGATTCAAGTTTCACATAAATTAAACCCAGATTCAATGAAACAGTTAAAAGCTTTTCTGTTGGACACACACATCCCTCTCCCTGCACTTCATCTTCCACGGTGCTTGTTGGTGCTCCAGGCAACTTTACTTACTGGGGCCAGAAAGATAGTACAGAGGGTAAAGTGTTTGCCTTGCATGCTGCTGACCTGAGTTCCACCCCCAGTATCCCATATGGTCACCTGAGCACCACCAGCAATGATTCCCTGAGTGCAGAGTCAGAAATAATCCCTGGGTATTGCCAGGTATGACCCAAAACAACAAAAGACTGTTTACTTGTGGGTTTACACTCTAGTTTAGTCTCGTAATTGGGTTTTGAGCTTCCTCTTCACCTCTCTAGATCTCAATGATCTTTAAAGACGTCACTCTACTCCATCTTGAATGGTTACTATTCCAATCCCATTGTCTTGCTCCTTAACTGAGTATTTATATCATTTTCACATGATGAACTCTTTTTTTCAGATATCTATTTGATATGCAAAATTAAACTATCATCTTATCAAGAAGTCATCTTGTGTCATTTTCAGATATTATACTTAAACATTCACATAGCATTTCAGTGAATTCATAAACATTTAAGAAAACCATAAAACAATTCTCAAGTGAGAGAACCAAGTTCTGCCCTAAATTACTTATTTTGTCACAAAAGTAACACTATAATAATTTTCTATATTCTTGGTCTTATTTTCACAATTAGAGTATGAATCTTTTGGAACAACATTACATTTTTATCTACTGAGCTCTCAGGGTTTTATCTAACCTGAACCCAAACCCAACACTGTATGGTCTAGATAATCCTCAGCACTGTAGTGCCTGAGCATCCTTAGGTCCCTGCATCAAACCATAGGCTGGTTGGGCAAGAATCACCAGTGGGGCCTCCAGAACTCCTGAGCACCACGTGGAAGGCTGCTCCCTCAATAAAACAAGCCAGAAAAAAAGTTTACTTTGCTTTGAATGGGGAGGAGTATTGGGGCCACACTTGGCAGTGCTCAGGACTTAACTCCTGACTATGTTCAGGTGTCACTCCTGGTGTTGCTCAGGAGACCATATGCAATGCCATGGATCAAAACAGGGACAGCTGGGTGCAAGGCAAGCTTCTGTTATATTTCTCTAGCCTAAATGGTTTTACTTGATAAACTCTTTTTTTCAGACAGCTATTTGATATGCAAAATTAAACTATCATCTTATCAAGAAGTCATCTTTGTGTAATTTTCAGATATTATACTTAAACTTTCACATAGCATCTCAGTGAATTTATAAACATTTAAGAAAACCATAAAACAAGCTTTAGATAAAATACTATATTACCTGGGGTCAAAGAGACAGTACAGTGGGAAAGGTACTTGACTTCCATGCATTCAAACCGGGTTCAATCCCCACACCACATATGGTGCCTGAGCAATGCCAAAATGATCTCAGAAAGTTTAGGAAGATCTGCATAGTAGGTAATTTATTCAAGTTTTCAGAGACTGTAACAGAATAAGAACTACAATCTCCAAATCCAATCAACCTTCCATTTTAGCATTAGAATTGTGTCAAAAATCCATCCATGGGGCTGGAGAGATAGCACAGCGGGTAGGGTGTTTGCCTCGCACGTGGCCGACCCGGGTTCGATTCCCAGCATCCCATATGGTCCCCTGAGCACCGCCAGGAGTAACTCCTGAGTGCAGAGCCAAGAGGAACTCCTGTGCATTGCCAGGTGTGACTCAAGAAGAAAAAAAAAATCCATCCATGAAAATTGTTTTATTATGAGTGATATCACAAACTAATTAAGGAAAGATTCACAATGTAATTTTAAGCATTAGTTATTTTACTGGTTCAAATTCTAATTCTCATGTTCTAAAATATATTGAAATCATGTTAGATACAATTTTTACTTGTAGGTAGTGTGTGGGTGAGGTAATATTTGGGAAGGACAGCATATAAAATAAAATACATACTTTCTCATATTATTAAGTGAGCTGCTGGAATTAGTCCCACGTTTGACAATCTACGATTCTAAAGACTAAATAATTTTTTTTACTTTCTGGGTCACACCTGGTGATGGTCAGGGGTTACTCCTGGCTCTTCGCTCAGGAATTATCCCTAATGGTGCTCAGGGGACCATATGGGATGGCAGGGATAGAACCTGGGTCCACCTCATGCAAGGCAAACACCCTATCCACTGTACTATTACTCCAGCCCCAGACTAAACATTTTTTTTGCTTTTTGGGTCACACCTGGCGTTGCACAGGGGTTACTCCTGGTTCTGCACTCAGGAATTACTCCTGACGGTGCTTAGGGTACCAGATGGGATGCTGGGAATTGAAACCAGGTTGGCCGCGTGCAAGGCAAATGCCCTACCCACTGTGCTATTGCTTCAGCCCCTAAACAATTTTTAAATGAAATATGCTAGACTTGACATTGCAGTACTTCCTATTAAATACCTAAAATTGTATTCTATTTTGGGGTGAATACACAGGGCTTTAGCAATTATATTAGGAAAAAAGTACTTTTAAGTATCTTATGGGATCTGCACTATGGAATTACTTCTGGCAGTGCTCAGGGGACCATATAGGATTCTGAGGATCAAACCTGTTGGCCAAGTGCAAGGCAAATACTTGACCTGCTGTACTATCTCTCAGACCCTTGTACTTGTTTTCTTAAAGCAGGGAAGCTTGATTTTGACTCTGATGATTATTATTGTGATTTAGTAAGAACATTTTTCTCTCTAGGATTATGACAATGATGGCAAGATATCTTTTGCTGACTTTGAAAAAGCAGTGAAAGAAGAGAGGCTTTTGTTGGAGGTATTTGGACCATGTTTACCAGAAGCAAAGGTAAAGTGCCAACACCTAACAGTGGTGGAGGGAATATTTTAAAAGACCAGAGCGATAGCATAGCTGGATAGGGTGCTTGCCTTGTGTACAGCTGACCCAGATTTTATCCTGGGCACCTTATTAAGTCCACTGAGCCCCGTCAGGAGTGAATCCTGAGCACAGAGACAGCAGAAGGCCGGAACACTGCTAGGTGTGGCCCAAACAAAACAAAACAAAACAAAAATGCTTGCTAAATACTGTTTCAGCCCACTGTAAAAGTTCAAAGGAATTGGTCTCATGCTATTATTTGGGGAACCATGATACTAGTGATTAATTGTACTTAATACTAAATACTAGTTTATTGTTGATCACTCCTGGCAGGCTCAGGGTACCATATATGCTAACAGGAATCAAAACTGAGTCAGCCACATAAAACACCCTATCCACTTTACTTACTTGGGCTCCAGCCCAAGGTAGACTTTTTAAAAAAGAGACTAGTGAAAGAGAATCAATAATTTTATCAAAAATAATTTATAAGGGGGGGTATGGTGCTGCCAGCAGGTCAATCTGTACCTGTGAGGCGAGTGCATCAGCAACCTGATGGAGCCTTCAGCCTTCCAGATACCCCAAAATTGCTGCTGTGCTTTTGGCCAGACCCCAAAAACTTGGGGCAAAGTTTACCAAGAAAATAAACGGCCAAAAGTTAGGTATGTGGGAAACGCACCCACAAAACACCTCTGGCTCAGCTATATAATTGGAGGCATGATGGCTTCTCTGGTTCCTGATTGAACTGCTTAATGGCCATGATCCCAGAGACTCAGAAACAAATCTCGAAAGTCAGCGGCTTTTGGCAGAAATGCATCCGGTCCCTGCAGTAGGTTACCGGTGCTGGGCCAACCCAGGTAGGAATAGGTTTCATGCCTTGGCCTGTTCCACCCAGCAGCCCAGTGGCCGCCATCCTTCAGAGGCCACTGGACAGTCAGGTTTGGGTCCCCAGTGACGGGACACGCAGGGCCTCACGGGATTGGGGTGGAGCTGGTCCTGTCCTCCCCACCCCAACGAAACCCAAGTCATCGCCCACGAACGGCCTCTCTGGCTCCTGATCATGATCATGGCTTAACGGCTATGATCCCAGAGACTCAGAAACAAATCTCGAAACCCAGTGGCTTTTGGCAGAAATCCCTCCAGATTTCACTTGATCACTTGACTTCCCGTTAATCGTCAATTTGCTCGAGCGGGTGCCAGTAACGTCTCCATTTGTCCCTGTCGCGTGCTAGTGTAGCCCAATGGCATCTTTTCGCTCTAGGAACATGAAGAGCCTCAAACCGATCATTCACGATCTTGATGAAGAAGTCTGACCATCTGGTAGGTGGGCGGCCACACGGTCTTTTGACATCCCATGGAATCCGGTCGCTAACAGCTCTAGTCCAGCGGTCATCTCTAAATCTCATTACATGACCAGCCCATCTGATTTTTGACACCTAGGCAAACGAGACAGCGTCCCTGATTCTTGATCATCTACGGAGGTCGGAACTCCGGATTCTTTCTCTCATTTGAGTGAAACGAGATATTCCAAGCATAGCTCTTTCAATTCCTCTTTGGGAGACCCGAATAGCGTTCTCATCCTGTTTGTGTAGGGCCCAGGTCTCTGAGGCATATGTTAATGCAGGAAGAACAGTGGAATCAAAGAGATGTGCCCGGAGCCGGAGGTTCTTCGTTCTCTTAGCTATTTCTTCGACGTTCTTGAAGGCGTTCCAAGCCGTTCTCTTCCTCCTGCGCAGCTCAGGTGTCAGGTCATTTGTCATGATGACTTCTCGACCTAGGTACACATAGCTGTTGCATTCGGAGATGGTCATTCTGTTGAGAGCGAATGGGGCGTCAGGTGTGAGGCTGTTTCTCATAAACATTGTCTTCATAAGATTCAGCTGTAGTCCGACCTTTCCACATTCACGGTTGAAGTCGGCCAGCATTTGTGCAGCTTGGCTGATGTTTGGTGTTATTAAAACAATGTCATCAGCAAAGCGGAGGTGGTATAGTTGCCGACCATCTATCTTCACTCCCATTCCTTCCCATTCCAGTCATCGCATGATGTTCTCGAGGGTGGCACTGAAGAGTTTCGGTGAAATGGTATCACCCTGCCGAACCCCTCTCTTGACATTGATGATTACCTCTTTGTAGAATGGTGAGATCCTGGTAGTGAATCCATAATACAGCTCACGGAGGATCTTGATGTATTGAGCTTGAATGCCCTGATTGGCTAGGGCTTCAATGACCGCTTCTGTCTCAACAGAATCAAAGGCCTTCTTTAAATCAATGAACGTTAGACAGAGCGGCATCTTGAACTCCCGAGAAACCTCAATGAGCTTGGTTATCGTGTGGATATGGTCGATGGTGCTGAATCCTTTGCGGAACCCGGCTTGCTCGCATGGTTGTCCTTCATCTAGTGTTCTGCCAATCCTATTTAGGATGACTCGAGTGAACTAAGTTGTAGATGAAAGACAATAGGCAGATCGGGCATTAGTTGCCAATGTCATGGATGTCTCCCTTCTTGAACAGTAGTACGGTCCTGCTGGTTTTCCACTGGGACGGAACCTTGCATTCAGACAGGTAGCGTGTGAAGAGCCGAGCCAGTATATTGATGAGTACTGATGGCAGGTTCTTCAGGTGTTCAGGTCTGACCTTGTCTGGGCCGGGTGTTGTTTGTTTCTTTACTGATGAAATGGCGTGTCGGATTCCGGAAGGGAGAACATTGGGAACAACATATCCATCCTGTGGAATTCGGTATGTCGGCAAGTGGACATGGCTATCGAAGAGATTTGAGTAGAAGTCATGGATAATCTTCTCCATTGCCATTCTGGAGGATGTGATAGATCCATCAGGATGTCGGAGGGCAGTCATCTTGGTCTTGTAGTTGGCGAAGGACAGGCGGGCGTTACAAATACTTTTCCCGGCTTCTGCCACATCTACCAGCACTTCTGCTCTTCTCTCTTTGAGGTCTTCCTTGATCGCATCTCTGCACTGCTTTGCGAGCTCGGACGTTTGCTTGCAGTCGCCAGAGGCATGCGCCAAACTACGTTGGCGAATAAGCTCAAGAGTTTTCGAAGACAGGCGTTTTTGTTTTGTTTTGTTTTGTTTTTGTGGCTATCTCTCCCTTGGCGTTCCTCACACAATCATGGAGGTGTTGAACCAGTCGATCATATTCCTCGTCAATGTTGTCAACAATGGCATCTTCCCATGTTGCCGCAATAGTGCCAAAGAGCTCCCAGTTGGTGGTCGTTCCGGGAGTTCTCTTTTTAAACTTTGCAACCCTTTCTCCCTGCTCTGTGAAGTAGAATTTTGCACGAAGGAGATGGTGGTCTGATCCCGTTCGGAATTTTGGGACAACAGCGACATCAGTCAGGCAAAACTGTCGATTGAATATGATGTGGTCTATTTCATTGTGGAATCGTCCACCGGGAAACTCCCATGTCCAACGTTTAGTTTCTGCCTTCTGGAACTGTGAGTTACCATGGATTGTCTTGGTTGACATGATGAACTCAGACAGTCTCTCACCCTGTTCGTTCCATTCAAACCCATGGGTCCCGATGTGAAGTTCTTCAGCTGATCTTCTCGGTCCTATCTTGGCATTAAAATCACCCACAATGATCTTGTAGAAGGTGTGGTCTTCTTTATAGAACTTCTCCAGTTTCATGTAGACCTTCTCAATTTCTCCTTCATCATAATTAGATGTTGGTGCGTAGACAAAGAAGATAGAAACTGCCGGCAGTGAGCCACATCTAATCAAATGTAAACGTTTGACTCGGGTTGTTAGGCATTCGAATGAATCAATGTTCATGGCCAAGTTTGTGTTGACAAGGACACCGACGCATCCGACACCTGTTTTATCGCATGTTCCAAGGAACAATTCTTCTCTAGTGTCGAAAACAGCATGATGAGATTGGTGCCTTCTTGTCTCGGTCAGACCAATGATGTCGTACTTGATCTTTCGTGCTTGTACCATCAGGTCTTCGATGGATGCATCTGATGCTAGTGTACGTGCATTGAAAGTACAGACGATCATTTTTGTCTTCCTTCATTGTGGCAGCCTAGTTCGGCCTTGAGATTTTATCGGCCTCCCCTTTCTCATCCTTGTCAGTGCTGCCATGTTAGTGAAGCCTTCAGGGTCAGGTGAATGAGACCCATTGTAGTTACTGGTTTTGGCATATCGAATACACAACGGATGGCTTGCAAGGCTGGCGGAATACTCTCGGTAGCTTGAGAGGGACCTTCCAGATTTAAGTGTTAAAATTTCGGAATTTCAAAATCACATGGCCCTACTGCAGCCACGCGACATCATATGTTATTCATAACCAGCAATAGAACACAAATTATCTACTCTTGCCTTTTCAGCAGATCTGAGTGTTGGGGTAAAATCTCAAATAATAATGGTGGGTCGGGTGTCAAAATATTGAATATGATCAAAGTAGAGAGTCATGTGGAAATCATCTGCCCCACAGGTAGGGGGAGGGTGTGGGATGGGAGTATACTGGGGTTTTTGGTGGTGGAGAGTGGACACTGGTGAAGGTACGGGTGTTTATTGTATGAGCAAGACTTAGACCTGAATGCTTTGTAACTGCTCACAGTGATTCAATAAATAAAATGATTAAAAATGAAAAAAAAATTTATAAGGAGGCAAGACCAAGTCCCTTGGATGAAGCTTCTTTCAGTACCGTTCATCACTTAGTGCCAGCCTAACAAGTCTGATGTTACGTTATCATTGAAGATGAACCTTATTAGGTATGTCCAACTCAGTCCATTAGACAAGCAGCCCTAAGGGTAGGACGGAAATCAGGCACCACATGAAATGAACCTTTTCGTGTTTTTTTCATCAGTTAGAAGAAAAGTGGCAGCAACCTGGACCTATTTGGATTTCTAGTTATATGACCCACTAACAAGGAAAAAAAGTGGGTGTATTGAGAGCACTGGCAAAGTCTTGTATTTATATATACTAGTTTGTTTCTGCCTCCATAGAAGGTGATTCTTTTTGAGAATTAAGCCTGAGTGTTAGTACAGTGGAAAGAGCATTGGCCTTGCAGGCAGCCAACCTGGATTTGATCCCCAGCATCCCTGTGCACCACCAGGAGTGATTCCTGACTGCAGAGCCAGGAGTAACTCCTGACCATCTCTAGGTGTGACTCAAAAAGTAAAAAATAAAAAAAATAACTTTTTATAGAATCATATATGCATCTAATTTCAGCTTTGTTCTAATAGACTGTCAACTTTTTACTTTACAGAACTGCCTTGAATTTGAAGCACTAGCATTCAAACACATTCTGACATCTGGTTTTTAATTGTCAATCACCCAATACTTGTATTAAAATCATAAAGAGACACTGGTGGAGGGATGGGTACTCAATCATTGTATAACTGAAATGTAATCATGAAAGTTCGTAAATCTGTGACTGTATCTCACAGTGATTCAATAAAAAAATTTTTTAAAAATCATAAAGAGAGCCTAAGGTCTATCATTATTTGTACCATAAAGTTTGTATTTGCTTTAATTAACTTACATATAGTTATAACAATGGTTAGAGGTAATAAGAATAGTTTTTATAATATTAAGTATGGGTCAAATAAAAACAATAATTATAACTAATTTTAAATAAAACTTTATTGGACAAATATTTTGAATGAATTACAAAGAGTATATTAGAAAAGAACAGCATTAAGCCTACAAGAATTACAATGATAGGCTAATAAAAAATAAATAGGTTATCAAAAAATATTAACTTGCTGCTGACAATCTATATTCTTCTTCTTTGTTTTAGTGGATGACTTATACGCACATCTTCCAAACTGTCCCCTGGAGACTTTGGCACAGCTGAAATTACCTGGTTTAAAAAAAAAATTAAAAAATAAAAAAGAATTTAGTTCTGATAGCATAATGACAAACTTAGTTCTTATAGCATAATGACAAAGTATTGGAAAAGACTGTTTAGGTCTGGGAGTTCAATGTCTGTCATCACATGCCAGACAGAGCTAGCACAAGGTAAAGTCCAAAATCTAGGCACAGCAAAGTTTTCTGTCCAAACATTGATAGCCGTAAAATCTTTTTTTGTTATTCTTGTTTTGATACTGGGCTGGAGTGATTGCACAGCGGTAGGGCATTTGCCTTGCACGCAGCAAGCCCGGCCGAGCCGGGTTCAATTCCTCCGTCCCTCTCAGAGAGCTCGGTAAGCTACCAAGAGTATTCAATATGCCAAACACAATAACAAGAAGTCTCACAATGGAGACGTTACTGGGCCCACTTGAGCAAATCGATGAACAACGGAGGACAGTGTTTGTTTTGAGACTACACCTGGCAGTGCTCAAGAATCATTCCTGGAAGTGCTCTGTGATGAACTGTGGTTGGCCTCATGCAAGACAAGTGCTTTTGCTTTAACCCCTGTACTATCTCTCTGGCTTTGACTGTAAAATTTCCAAAGCCGTTTAACAAGAAATAAAAAGGTGGGAGGGGGAGGAAAGAAAACATATATTCTATTTAATGTTCCTCAACCTATCTGAAGTCACTTAATAGTTACAGGGACCATAGTTATGCCAACCTGAGACTTTGATGCTTTGGGATATACTTAGAGAGAGACATAGAAACTTGTGGAGTATAAAACATTTCACAAAAAAATAACATGTCTCATTTTCTTGGGGAAAAAGGAAAACCAGCCATTATATAAAGAATGGACAGTAAATTAAAGCAGAATAAGGGAAACGCTTAAAATAGAAATACTAAAAAATGCAGCATAATTTTTCCTTTTTTGTTTTGCTATTTCTGTTCTTGGATTTGAACCTAAAACTTGTCTTAAAAATAGCAGTTATTTTTACTAAGATTGCTATGAATCTTTATCACTGCTTCAATTCAGGAAGGAAGGGTACCAGTACAAACTAAAAAATTTCAACAGAAGGCTTAGAGTAGAAACTCTGTCAATGGTTTTTATTATTCTGAAATAATCCTTAATTGGGGCCCAGTAATAGTATAGTGGGTAGGGTACTTGCCTTGCACATGCCCATCCAGATTTGATCTCTGGCATCCCCTCTGGTCCCCTCAGCACTGCCAGGAGTAATTCTTGTGTGCAGAGCCAGGAATAACCCTAGGCATTGCCATGTATCATTACTAAGATAATGATTCTCATGTAAAAAATATCATACATAAAAGAAATGATGCCATGTTGACCTGTAAACCTGTGAAAAGCACTTTTTAAACCTCAAGTTAAAATACAAAAGCATTCTCTCTCTTCTTGTTTGCTTTATAAGAAGCTTGCTCCAAAAGAAGTTTCTTTTGATTATATTGTGAAAACAGCAAATGATTATATAAACATTGTTTGAAAATTTACTATACTGTAGTACAATAATTTCATTTTCTAAGGCTAGGGTATTTCTATCAAAGAAGCAAACGAAGCAGTTTTACATTTGCTGAGTAACTCTCAATCTAAAAGAAATATAATAATAATTTTTTTCCCCCTTTTTGGTCATATCCTGCGATACTCAGGGGTTAATCCTAGCTTTGCACTCAGGAATTACTCCTGGCAGTGCTTGGGGAACCATATGGGATGTTGGGAATCGAACCCAGGTCGGCCGCGTGCAAGGCAAATGCCCCACCCGCCGTGGTATCACTCCAGTCCAGAAATATAATAATTTTCATTCAATTCTGTACTTGTCTACTCTACTCATACCAGAACTACCTAGAATCTTTTTTTTTCCGTTTTGGGGTCACTTCTGTCTGTGCTCAGGGGTGCACGTGAAACTGGGGATCAAACCCAAGTTGGCCACACGCAAAGGAAGTACCTTACCAACTGTACTATGGCTCCGGTCCCATCTTGAGTTATAAAAAGGTGGGTGCTAGGTTCCACTCCATATAGGTGAATTTTATCTGACTGAAATTTTTATATTTTATTTTTTGTATGTTCATTGTTTAAAACAAGCATTAGTGGTTCATCAATTTGCTCAAGTGGGCCTAGTAACGTCTCTATTGTGAGACTTCTTGTTACTGTGTTTGGCATATTGAATACTCTCAGCAGCTTGCCAAGCTCTCCGAGGGGCGGAGGAATCGAACCCGGCTTGGCCAGGCAGGCTGCGTGCAAGGCAAACGCCCTGAGATAATGATTCTCATGATAGCTGTGCTATCACTCCAGCCCCGGCATTAGTGTTATTCAAACCAAATTTCTATTTCAAAATTCAGTTTATTTAACAGGGAAAACATTGAAAACAAAATGAAAAAATGTTGACAGTTCAAATTCCTATAATTATTTAGCTACTTGTTTGATCTGTGACCAGATTATCTCATAGTCTTTAAAAAAATAAATTACTTTACCTCTTTCAATTTATTCCGAATTATATTTGCTGTTGTATTCAAGGAGTCGTCATGCAGATCCACCTTAGGAATGTCCGGCAACCGAGGCCCAATCATAACATCATTGCTGCTGGTGCTTGTTTCCGGAAAAGCTCCACGTTTGCGGTCATCTTCCCTTCTCCTTTTCCGCTCTTGCAGCTGTGTTGTCCTGGGCATAAACCTGTCCACCGCCTCTGAAGGAGAAGCTGCCGCTTGTGACCGTGGGCAAGCTACTGAACTGTTTTTTGTCTGTTTTCTGTGCAGAGAGCCACTGTGATTACAATGCCCTGCTGTTCTGTTGTACCTTCCACCATCCTGGGAGGACTCAGGTGCTCTGTTCACATGCTCCATTGATGAACACTTGCATTGTGAGGAGAAATAACATAAAGGCAGTTCACAAGAATATGGGAGGCAAGGATCTGAGTTCCCAGGATTTTTCGAAGTGTCTACACTAAATCCAGATGATTCTGCTTTCTGAAAGTCCTGTGTAGAATCTCTTGTGTCTTTAGGCTCTGTATTTATTTTAAAAGGTGAGGGAAACAGATATGATTCGTTTATTGTTTTCATTGCTACTTTTTTTCTTTCTTCTTAAGCAGTCAATACATTCATGAAGTTCAAAAGCTGATTAAAAAAAAAAAGGAAGGGGGCTGGAGCAATAGCACAGTGGATAGGGCATTTGCCTTGCACGCAGCCAACCCAGGTTCAATTCCCAGCATCCCATATGGTCCCCCAAGCACCGCCAGGAGTAATTCCTGAGTGCATGAACCAGGAGTAACTCCTGTGCATTGGCAGGTGTGACCCAAAAAGAAAACAAAAAACAAAAAACAAAAAACAAAACTGGGGCCAAATAGATAGTACAGGGGACAGTGTACTTGCCTTGCATGTAGCCAACCTGGGTTCAAACCCCAGGAAAAGTGATCCTGACATTGTATAATCCCCTTAGCTACAAGAAGTGATAACTTGAGCCCTGAATCGGGAGTAAACCTTTAGCTCCTTTGGGTATGTCTCCCCTATAACTCCCCCTTCCCCCCAAAGTGATATAAAGCTGTTATTAGTGCCAGGCTTTGCTCTTTCCTTGTTCATCATAGGCCTGGTTTCTACTTCTGTGAGTAAACTATTTTTTTTTGTTTTTTTTTTTTGCCCACACCTGTCAGTGTACAAGGTCACTACTACTGGCTTGGTGCTTAGGGGACCATGTAGCGCTGACGACTGAACCCAGACCTCCCACATGCAAGGTACTCACACTAACACTAGCAGCTCTATGGCCCAGCTATCTCTGGGCATCTTCTGACCTCTTCCTCCTATCACACATTCCTTTTCTTCCTTTGGAATAACCACTTTTGAAATGTGTCTTTTGATTTCTACTTAATTACATTGGCTGGTTACATGCAAGTGCCTTAACCCCTGTTGTATCTCTCCAGCCCCACTGCTTGCTTTGGTTCATATTATTATTGATAACAGAACCATTCTATGGTCTTCATTCATTGCTCTTTGTCTAAAGCCATTTTACTCTGCTCCTAACTACCTCATAATCAGTTTCACAACTGCTCCAATTGAGTGGCAATATGATACAGATACACTGCTTTATAACTAGGATTTGTTTCATTCTCAACACTTTGACATTTCAATAGCATCCCAGAATCTACACTTTGTGTTTCATTCTTAGCTTAACTTAAAAAAAACTTACTCATATTTTAAAACATATAAATGTAGACTAATTGGCCTGGAGAGATAATATAGCAGATGCTTGCCTTTCACACAGCTAGTGTAGGTTTGATCCCTGGCATCCCATATGGTCCCAAGCATCACCAGGACTGATTCCTGAGTGCAGAGCCAGGGGTAACCCCTGAGCTTTGCCAGATGTGGCCCAAAACCAAGTGGGAGGGGGAGGGAAAGGGAAAGAGGAAGAGAGGGAGGGGGAGGGAGGAGAGGGAGAAAGAGGGAGGTGAGGAAGGGAAGGAGTGGGGACAG